TCTGGCCTAAAGTTAGGCACTGGTGAGTCAGGTGAGAGAGACCCATGTTTGCCCAGTGATCCTTCTGATTCAGGAGATGATAACCTTGTAGATAAATTAGCAACATCAAATTGCTCAAGTTCTGCATCTGACACAGGTTTGGAAGATGGTGGCCTTTTATGTTTCACCGACAATTTGGGAAGTGAGACTGAAAGTTGGGGAACATGTGAATCTGGACACAAAGGTCTATACTCATCTAAAGAGTTTCCTGTCTCCTGCAAATCAGAATTCAGAAAACTCAGTAACTTCAGGGGCTTGGGTGAAAGAGATCTATATTCTGCCTCAGAGTCAGATGATATCATTCTACCTCTGTCTTCTGCATTTGAATCAAGCAGAACACATTCCTCACTAGTCTCCTCATATTCAAACACTTTAGCTCTGTTTGCAGAGGCCTCTCCTACATAATGGGGGTCATGCAGTTGACATATTAGCTGGTTTGTTCTAAATGTTGCATCAGCAGCTGATTCTTTAAGCATGAAAAAAACAGATTCAGTCATCAGTACTCCAGGTGATAAAGATCTGTATTCTGATACTGGGTTCTCTTTCCCCTCAGTCTTTGTTTGCATTGCTTGAAGAGTGTTTGCATCAGATGAATCTGTAATGTCCAACTTCACACCACCCTCTAACTCTCCCTCTTTCACATCTGAATCCTCCAAAACATACTCAATTCTTGTTCCAGCATACTCGAAAACACCAGTTTTACTGCAAACAGTCTTTCCAACATAGTGTGGATCACGTATTTGAGAAATGAGCTTCCAAAGTTCAGCATCATAAACAAGTCTATACGCTGGTACCCTGCTGGTACCCTGCTCACAAATACTTAGGTCTACACTTGCCTGTGTATATTCAACATCAGAAACCACTGACTCAGGAGAAGATGATCTATCAAAAATAACTGAATCAGACTCAGTCAGCCCTGTTTTGAATTCTGGTATTGGTGAGTCACCCCTGTAGTCATCTCCAGAAACTACTGAATCAGGTGAGGGTGGTCTAATTTCAGAGGACAGTTGTGACAGAGACACATCCCCATATTCTAAATCTGGACGAACTGAAACAGGTGATGAGGATCTTGCCAGAGCAGCAAATTCTGGTAAACCCTGTCCAAACACTGGAATGGGTGCCTCAGGTGAAAGTGGCCTGCTTTCATCGACAGAATATACAGAAGGTGGTCTGTTCATTGCAAACAATTCTAAAGAAGAGACAGACATACATTCTAAATCAGAGGATATTGATTCAAGTGATGAAGATTGATCCAGTTTAGCAATTACAACAGATTCTGCTAAAGATGGTGTAAAGGCAGGAATAGGTGAGTCAGGCGATAGTTCCCTGTATGTGTTTAAAGATGTTAAAGAATCAGGAGATGTTGGTCTGTCATCAAAAAGAAATGAAATGTTTAAATCAGTCTCCAGATCCAGATCGGACAATACTGAATTTGTTGACACTGATCTGTGACAAACTTGAAAGAGTCCAGAGGCAAAGTACTGTGGGACTGGGGAATCTGGCAGTAAAGCTTGCTGACTAGCTACAGATATTCCTGATTGTGAGGAATCTGATCTAAGCAATTGTGGTGACATGGGTCTATATTCTGCTTCAGAATCAGGTGACAGTGATCTTTGGTCATTTTCGCATTGCAAAGCAATAGCTTCATCTTCAACTGTTACATCTGACTTTGTCTGAAAAGACACTGTCCTTGATCCAGGAAACTGAAAAATGATTTTACTCATGAAAGTTTCTCCTACATACTGTGGGTCACGAATTTGAGAGATAAGCTTCCAAGGTTCTTCATCATATGCTAAACTCTGGACTGGCACTGAATATTCTGGTAGGGGTAAAGGTATATGATGCTGAGGTACAGAAACTGAAGACTCTCGAGGTAACTGCTCTTCAGAGACATATGTACTAAATGCAAATGAAGACGGTAGATCATTTAATGCAGTTTCTGGACACATAAGAGGTGACAGAACTTTAGCAGAGTCTTGTATCTCTTCATATGTAGATATAAACTCAGATGATTCTTTTTGACATTCTGTAACACTCTGCACAGGTTCATAATTAGTTTTGACTGATTTCTTCTGCTTCGTTTTCTGTCTTGCAGATTTTGTGTCCTCAGTTATAGGGTTGTACATTTTCTCCTTTGAGTTTCCTTCGTTGAATAACTCATGACGTAATTCTTTTGTAATAATAGTTGACAAGACTTCAGCTCCAGCTGGTAGTGTGACAATGTTTTGGTCACACTGACTGCCATCAGGTATAACTGATTCTATCTTGGGAGCTTCAGTTTCATTGTGAGTCATTGGATTTTCTTCTTCCGGTTTAGGCAAAATGAAGGTTAAATATTTTTCTTGAGTTTTTGACTTTTCTAGATCAGTAATTATTTTTGTTTCCAACTGTTTTCCAGCACATTCTTCTTCTACAACAACTGCAGCTTGTGTTGGTTGGAGTGTCATGTCTTCCTCAAGAGGTAGATCAGTTGCAGGATTAGGCCCATAATCACTTACAGAATCACTTAAATCAGGGGATAAAGTCCTATTCTCAAAATATGACAGCAATGACATGGCCTCACACTCTGTATCTGACAGCTTAAATTCTGGTGATGATGAATGATCATTGATAGTAACAGCATGATGCACAGACAGTGTACATTGTGGTATAGGAGAATCTGGGGGCAGACACTCATTGAATCTTTCTGATTCAGGAGAAGATGCTCTAATGTCCAACATTGCTGACTGTGGAGACATTGGTCTATAGTCGAGCACTGATTCTGATAAAAGTAGTCTTTCCTCAATATCAGACATAGATATGATAACCCAATCATCGTCATCCTCAAATACAGATTCTACTGGTGTTTGTGTTTTGGTTTCTGTGTCAAAGTCTGATGGTTTAGGTGATTTTCTTCTATGATCAGCATGTATGGAATCACACACTATCTCTGCAGATTCAGCTGATTCAAGGTTGGGTGATCTATGTTCAGTGACAGGTAAATCAGAATCAGATCCATTTTCAGATGCAGCTGCACTAGTTGATGAAACTCTATCTTCAAGGCTAAGCAATGCTGGAGACACAAAGCTATAATCTACATCTGAGCATATTGATTCAGGTGAAGTAGATCTCTCCCCTATCATTACAATAGCAGGGTCAGGCCAGTTGAGACTGAATTCAGGTAAAGGTGAATCAGGGGACAGTGTTTTATGTTCATTTATAGATGCTACAGATTCTGGGGATGATGGCCTGTCTTCGAGAGGCTTTGATAACAAAAGCACTGTTTCAGGTTCCAGATCTGATGACACTAATTCAGGTGATGATCCACATTGACAAGTTGTAAAAGACTCGGAGACTTGTTCAAATTCAAGGATAGGGGAATCCGGTGACAGCCGACAATGTGCACACGATTCAGGAGATGATGGTCTCATTTCGTGGAAATCGGGAAACAAAGCCACATGCTCTGAAGATGTAAAAATACCCTGCATTGTTTTTAAAATGGCAGACTCAGGTGACTCTGCTCTGTCCTCTATGTCGAAAGTGAATGATTGAGGTGAAATGGACCTTTCACCACTATAATCACTGCTTAGTGATACTGGCCTTCCAAATGGTCTTTTGTTTGAAACCATTGGTGTTAATGGCCTTTCCTCTGCTTCGGATGTTAACAGCATAGAACTGTCTCCTGGTGCACTCAATGATGGTTGCCCCTGGGTGGAAGCCTCAGCATAACCAGTTTCCCATGAAAAAACAGGAGGTGGTAGGGGAGACAAGGGCCTAAACTGAGGTACTGGAGAATCGGGAACAAGAAAATTAAGTTCATTTACTAACAATGCTGATTCAGGTGTTGAGGCCCTACTCTCTGTCTGTAATATTGCTATATCAGTCACAAAATCAGGTGAAAATGATCTATCATGAACTAAGCTATGAATTTCAGGTGTAGACTCTACAGAGCTCTCATTTTCATTCTGTCTGAATGACAGTGTTTTCTCAACGTTGCACTCAGCTCCTGATATAACTGACATGGTATTATCTACTGAATGAGCACCTATTTGCTCAGAAGTTGAGTCATGTGACATCTCAATATAGCCAGTTGAGCTTATGAGTTTTGTTTTTTCCGACAATAAACCTGGAATGGTACAACTCACATCACAAGGACCTGCTAATGCCTGAGTGGCAGTCTCAGTTGTATTCATGCCATGAGGGGATTTGACATCAAAGTCCCCAGACATTAGGACTTGGTGCACATCAATCTCGTGCTCAGAGTTTGAAACATCTTCATTGGTGTTAGTGTATTTAGCAGCTCCCTCAACCTCATCTTTCCTGACTCCAGTTTGAATTGTGTCTTCGGTGGATGCCACCATGGACACATCCTCACTATCTGTATCCATTAACTCAACATCATATCCATACAGGACTTTATAGAGTCGACGGGAAACATCATCGACGTGTGTTTTGGCCATTTGTTTAGTCTGCATGGATTCTGTCGTAGCAATAGTGGAACCAGAAGGAGACACAGAAGTAGCCTGAGTAGGCAGAGGCCTTTGCTCACTTGTAGGTTGTTGTATAAAGCAAATCTTTTCAGGGATCTCTTCAGCTTCTGTAAGCTCCATAGACAGTTTTCTGAAGTCTTGCTCAGCTTGATCACACTCAAACAAGGTATCTTCAAAATCGGTCATAGACAAAGGTCGACTCTCGCATACACCTGTTTGAGAACTGTTGGATGATTCTCGCCAAGGCAACGGTGACAAATAATGAGCATTGTATTCAGAATTGGTGGTTTGTAGACACTCCAAGCTCCACTCCTCTCCCCCTTCTGCCCCCTCATATCCAGCAGCCCCCTCGCCATCACATGGTTCAACAGTGGGGTAAGGAGGTGGGGTAATCTGGGCACCTAACATGGGTCTCCCTTTGTACAAAGGGTCTACCATGTGGGATCGAAGGTTGTAGGGAGAGGTGCAGTACAATGTGAAGAAAGGACTTACTTGTTTATGAGTGCCTGTGTGTACCGTGTCTGTCAATTCGTCATATACTCTTTGTGATGAGCTGCGGAAAAAAACAATCAATATTCAGTTACTGGATGGCTGATCAATTTAATTCTATTGGAAAAACAGAATTACTGCCTTGTGGTTGTGTGCCTCTGCTAATCAGTCAAGTTGCAATTTACATCCACGTCTGTGGAAACATGGATGCTTCACACTCATCCTCCCCCTGGCAGCACAGAAGATCTATACAATCAGCACAGTTTCAAGGTGGGCACCCAAGATTAGTGTCACCAATTAATTATCTGACCAAATATCTCCCCTTCTGTTCCTGAAATATGACCCTGAGTAATGGCTAGAAAAGTGTTTTTGCACAATTTTACAATGTCACAGTAAAGCTGACGTTTTGACCTTTTGTATATAAAATGTCATCATGTTATTGGACATTTGTGTAAAATGTTGTCATAACTAGCATATGAATTATTGAGTTATGCCCAACAACATGTTTTGTAAGGTCATTGTGACCTTGACCTTTGGACTTTGACCACCAAAGTCTAATCAGTTCATTTTTGAGTCCAAGTAGACATTTGTGCTATAGAGACATTCCCTCAAGGTGGTCTTGTGATACCACATTTAAGAGAATGTGATGGATGAGTTCATGGTGACCTTGACCTTTGATTTTTGACCACAAACTTTTGATCCATTCCACCTTGACTCAAGAAGATGTTGGTGCCAAATTTCAAGAAATTCCCTCAAGGTGTTTTTGAAATGAGAATGGGACAGATGGACAGATGAACCTGAAAACATATTGGGCCTCATTCACTAATATGTGCATGGAAATGTTCTTACTTTGCACACAAAATAAGTGTGTACGCAAAATCACTGTGGGATTCATGACACCTGCGCACTGGCCAATTTTGTTCTCACCACCTTGCGTATGTGTGTGAATCAGAATCATTCTAAATTGACAGGCGCGTGCTCGCAATTTGTGATTAGCATACTACCACACCCCCATTTCTCCATATAAGGAAACTGCTTGCCTAGAGTTGATTCATGAATCAAGGAAGCGGTTACGCGAGGAGAGAAGTAGTAAACTCGTGTGTGTGGGCATGTATGTTATTATAGTGCACCTCTTGAGGGGTTTCAGGGTTTGCGTATGGTATCATCAGCCATGTTTTGAGGCCATATCCCCGGTCACCTAAACAATATAACATTTTAGCATTAACGCAATAGAGACTTACTAAAAATACTAACTAAAAACAATTGAAATAAAAGACTAGAACGAAAGATGCTCACCAACAAGCCATCCACTTCCGACAGCCCCTGCCTCCAAACGCATTCCCACTGTACTGTTTGGCAAAATAAATGAGTCGTGGGTGCCTCCTGGCCAGCGGGCCACAGCGTTAAGGATATGGCAGTCGGCATTACAGATCATCTGCACGTTGGTGAAGTGATAGTTTTTTTCTGTTCATGTATTGCATTGAGTCAATCGATGGAGCTTTGATGCGCACATGGGTACAGTCTATTGCACCAATTGTATTTGGTATTCCAGCTATGCCATGGAACCCCCTCTTCACATCGGTCTGATTATGTTCATCATATGGGAATTTGATATATTCAGGCAATAGCCTTAGGATGCCATTTAATACCCGTGGGATGACACGGCTCAGAGAGGGTTGTGAAATCCCAGCCTGGTCTGCTATTTCTCTCTGAAATGTACCTGTAGCCAGGAAACCGAGGGTGGACAGGACTTGCACCTGATGAGGTATCGGATGAGAACGGCGTGTCGGGTGATTTAGATTCTACAGAGAATCACATAGTTGCAGTAGCACATGCCTTGGCAATCGGAAACGGCTGATAAGCCATTCATCATTTTCCTCGAACATGTTGTGTCGGTCCCTGAATACTTGCTCTCTCCTCAGGGCATGGGCTGCAATATCCTCTAGCTAGGCTAGATATGTCATTTTAACACTTGCTCAGGTGAATCAGAATCGTTTATATACCCTGCATGCCCTTTAACATGCTACCAATTAACCAATTGCCTTTGGCCACAGATGCGTAATTTCATGGCACAAGAAATTGCTGGGAGTGGGTGATCATTATAGGCCAAAACAATTAAATGAAAGCCAAAACTGTTAGGCCTACATTTCGAAATGTACATTCTCATATATTCCTTTGTAAACTAGGACTGTTGTTATCGTTGAATATTTTAATTGTCACAATGATGAGGGTGAAAGTGTGTCAATTTCATGGTTATTTAATACATTTGGCCAATATATTAGTAAATTAATGATTTTAAAAAATATTAATTAAATGTCTTTTTAATGAATGTGGTTCATTACTTAAAAGGTATGTGTTTGCATTTTCTAAGTCAGTTCGGCCTTCCTCATTTGTGCGTACACATGGTCTGAGGCAGTTCTAAATTTGTTCGCAGAGTAAGAACAAATTCTGTTAAGAAAATATTGATGAATCTTGGATTTGTGCATCAAACGATTGTAAGCACAGTTTAAGCACAGATTTGTGCGTACGCACTGTCTGTGAATGAGGCCCATTGTCTCCAGCCACAACTGTCGTTGGTGTGGAGGCATGTGTGCTGCGCCAGGGAGCTTGCTGTTCTGACCGGGTAAGTGAGCAGGGGCGGGTGGTGTCCTGCCGGCCACGACACATAAGTTTTTAGCTGTGGTTTTTATCGTTTAATCCAGTTGTTTTAAAACGTCCATTACTCTCCTCCTTTACCCGACACTGAACGTTTTTAACTATGACGCCTCAGAGCTCCCCGGCTGGTCTGGAGACAAACCGAAAGTTATGAAGTGCAACCTGTGCGACACGTTTGTCATCGTCTCCGAAGAGGATTTTACTGACAGTGCTTTTATCTGCTCCAAATGTCACCGTTTTAACCAGTTACAAGACTTGCTCATTGGCTGTCTGACCAATGAGCCCCCCCTCCCTCCCAGATGTTGTCTGAGGACATGGACTCTGCTCTGAGAGGCTGACACGGCGGCACAGTAGGAAATGACAAGTCACCTCCACCACCTCCTACCTTTGCTAACTGGACTGGTATACCTTCTTCTATATCCACTATCATTTCCTACCATAGACCCACTGCAGCACGCTCGATATCCCACCCCTCTGCTGCCAATCATAATAATCTAATCCAAGTCCCCCTGGAACCTCTGTTACCCAAAGTGCCTGTTTGTCATCCCATAAACTTTGTTTTTTTTTAAACATTAACTTGGCCGTACTGAACGTGCGCTCTCTTTTAAATAAAACTTTTATCATAAATGAACTGATTTTAGATAACAAGATTGACAGTATTCTTTTAACAGAGACATGGCTTGGCACTGACGCACCAGTTGTTCTCACCGAGGCTTGCTCACCAAATTTTAACTTTTTATTCTCTACTGGGGGGGGGGACTCAAATGAAGTTTCTTTTAACAGCTACACATCATGTAAGTATCATGCCTTTGTTTTTAACAGTCCTCCTATTCTATGTATCACAGTTTACAGGCCACCCCATCATTCTTCCTCTTTTATCAGTGAATTCTCTGAAATATTATCAATCATACACACCACCTAATAGAATTTTAATAACTGGTGATTTTAATTTGCATGTAGATAACATCTCTGATACTATGTCCAGAGAATTTTTAAACCTTTTAATCTGCATGGATTTTAAACATGTCACACAGCCAACTCACAACAGAGGACACACCCTGGACCTGGTCATAACCTATGGCCTGTCCACTGGTGTGTCATCTGGTGTTGACCTGGCTCTGTCTGACCACTATTGCGTGTATTTTAACATCACCAGTTTTAGCCATCAGGAGGCCCTGGTGAGAACGGTGAGGAAACGCTACCTAACTTCTGAAGTGGCTGCAAATTTTATTGAGATTTTACAGAGCACTCCTGCTGAAATTTTACCAGCACCCTGTGATTTTATTGTGGAAAATTTTATCAGTAAATTGAGGTCATCACTTGACTCAGTGGCTCCACTTTTAACCAAAACCATAAAAACAAAACCTACACACCCATGGAGAAATGATAATATCAACAAAAAAAAAAAAAAAAAAAATTGAAAAGAAAATACAGGAGTGCAGAAAGGAGGTGGAGAAAAACTAAACTGACAGTTCATTATGAAATATTACGTGAACAACTCAAAACCTACAATAATACAGTCAAACAGGCATGAATATCGCACTTTGCAAAACTCATCACAGATAATAAAAACAACCCAAAATTCCTTTTATTTTCTCCACCTTCAATCTTTTAACCAACACCAATTTTAATAAATCATCCAAGCTGCCAACAGACGCCCTCTGCGATGACTTTGCAGACCACTTCAGAAGTAAAATCAATGAGATCAGATCCAGTCTTTTATCTCAACAGAATGTAATTTTTAACACACCTGAACAGTTGCTTTTACCCGAGGAAACACTGGAGAGTTTTGCCCTGGTTGATGCAAGGACACTTGGTCGAGTTTTCTCCCAGGTAAACCCAACAACCTGCCTTTTAGATCCAATTCCCACATCACTTTTAAAATAATTTTATAGATTCTTTGAGGAACGATTTTAAATATAGTAAATTACTCTCTTTAGACGGGTGTCTTCCCCACTGCCTTCAAAACGGCAGTGGTGAAGCCCCCTCTGAAAAAGAGTAATTTAGATTCCAACACTCTTAATAATTACCAACCTGTATCCAACTTACCGTTTTTAAGTAAGATTTTAGAAAAAATGTTTTTTAATCTAGTAAATGATTTTTTAAACAGAAACAATATTTTAGAGAAATATCAATGTGGTTTTAGGATGAACCACAGTACCGAGACAGCCCTTTTAAATATTTTAAATGACATCAGGTATAATGCAGATTCACAAAAACTCACAGTCATGGTACTACTGGATCTAAGCACTGCTTTTGATACAGTAGATCACCACATTTTATTAAACAGACTTAGAAACCTGGTCGGCCTCTCTGGTACTGTTTTTAACTGGTTCAGCTCTTATCTCACAGATCGTTGTTTCTTTGTAAGTATGGATACATGTTCCTCCAGAACACATGAAATTAGGTGTGGGGTGCCCCAAGGGTCAAATTTAGGTCAAATTCTTTTTAATCTATACATGCTTCCCCTTGGGGACGTCATCAGGAGGCACGGCATCAGCTTCCACAGTTACGCAGATGATACACAGCTGTACATCACCGTGTCTCCTGATGACACAGGGCAAATTGATATCCTTTTTAACTGCATTTTAGATATCAAGTCATGGATGGCAGTGAATTTCCTACAGCTCAACCAGGACAAAACAGAGGTCTCAGTTACTGGTCCTGAAGGCAAGAGAGAGAAACTTTTACCAAAACTACAAGATTTTAAACCTTGACAATGTGTAAAGAACCTGGGCGTCATTTTTGACTCTGAGCTTAATTTTATTCCACACATCAAAAATGTAACAAAGAGAGGTTTTTATCATCTTAAGAATATAGCCAGAGTCCGCTCGTCTCTCTCTCAGGCTAACATGGAGGTGCTGATGCATGCTTTTATCTTTTGTCGTTTAGACTACTGTAATGCCCTGCTCTCTGGTCTTCCCAAAAAGACAATCTCCAATCTACAATTACTTCAAAACTCAGCCGCACATGTGCTGACGAAGACCAGAGGGCGGGCGCACATGGATTTTAAAATTGTGTGTGTTTCAGGATTGATTTTAAGGTTCTTTTATTAGTTTTTAAATGTCTTAACAGTCGTGGGCCATCTTATTTATCTGACCTGCTTTTATATCAACCCTCGTGGATCCTGAGGTCCTCTGGCACCAGCCTTTTAATTGTCCCAAAAGTCAGAACAAAAACCCACAGGGAGGCTGCATTCAGCCACTATGGCCCACACTTGTGGAATAGCCTACCAGAGAGCATCAGGACTGCAGAGACTGTTGATGTTTTTAGGCTCAAGACTCAACTTTTTAATGTGGCTTTTAACTGATTTCTTCTACTCTTCTTTTATTATATTTTATTTTATATTTTATTTTTTTTAATTTATTTATATGTATTTATGTTTTAATGTCTAATGTTCTTAATGATCTACTTTTAAATCCTTATGCATTTTATTATTTTTAATTTTTAAATCTTTATTTTCTTTAATTTTTTAAATCTTTAAATTTTTTATGTATTTTATCATTATTCTATCTTATGCTTGTTTTTATCCTATTGTCTTTTAGTCTTTTAGTTTTTAGCTCCACTGTTTCCTCATGGGGGGCCTCCACACTGGGAGGTCCTGGAGTTCCCTCAGGCCCGGACGACTGGGGGGCTCTGCACCATGTGTGGACTCCAACCCGGTTGGGTGGTCTCTGTGGCGGCACTCCCTGTGGCCATCGGCTGTGGCGCCTCTCGGTGTGAATGGCTCCCCATAGGTGGTTTTTCCTCACCTGGTGCCCTTAGTGCCCTGCCACGTTACTATACTGTGTGTGCGTGTGCACACGTGTTCTACGTGGGGGGTGGGAGGGGCGGGTTTTTCATTGTTTTTTATTTTGTGAAGCACTTTGTGTTGCATTTTTAATGTATGAGAAGTGCTGTATAAATGAAGTTTGATTTGATTTGATTTGATAAAAAGATAGAAGCTAATAAATGTTTTATATTTACATACATATCATCTTAATGTATTAACCAAATATATTCCACAAAATACCAATGTCAGCCATGCAACTGAAGCAGTAATGATTACACACAAGTGTAAATCTTAAAAAGAATCCTTTTTTGAGGTTACAAATCTAGGGTGATGTGAATTTCAAATTTGTTATTATTGATGCAGAATAGCTACTGCTTCACCCAGCTTGGTCTTGGCAAAGGTGGAACACAGTGAAAACAGAAAAACATTTAAAAACACAGAGTACCTTATAACAATATCAAATTACAGTTACATCACATAGTAAATGGGGCTCTGACAGGAATCAGGCTAGAACCATCATTAATCGGAGACCCCCAAATCGATACTTGACTTTCATTTGTATGCCATCCAGTATTAATAACACTACATCTCCCAGAAGGTAAAGCTCCTACCACCAGGGCTGCACACAGGTGTATTGCATACAGCCAGTGATTAGACTAAGACTGGTTACTTTTGCCAGCCTGTCCATTGTTGCCTCATGTATGCTCTGATGAAGCTCTAATAGACCAAAAGCTCAACAATTAAGTAAAACACTGCATAGATGTAAATATGTGGAAATCTTTGTCTACAAATTTGTTATAATTGAAAGAAAGAAAAAAGGGCTTTATGGAAAAATTAGAAATCTGAGGTGCATTGCAACCCTGTGTCCATACTTGCAGACAAAAAGTTAGAAAGCTAACATGGATGTGGTGACATTAATTCAACTTTCTAGGTAACTTACTATGTTGTCTCCATCTCTTTTTCTAGTTTCTCTTTCTGGGCATTTCTAAGAAGGCCTGTTGCTGTGGAATCTGTCTCTGGTCGTCCCACTGTCTCCTGAAGTGATGACAAACTGGAGGACAGGTCCTCCGCTGACACCATGGGTACCTCTTGTCCTGAGCCTCGACTCCTACATGTGGCCTCTGTACGCCTGCCTGGCCTGGGGCTGTCAATGTCTTCATGAAGGGCAGAGAAACCTGACAAAGGATACAATGCAGGCATGCAGAAAGAGTTAAATTTTATGAGAAAGAAATCAGTTAGAACTTTCTTGTACATAGACGTAACAACAACCTAATTATCAGTCTGCTTCAAGTTAACATTGGCTTGTGTACCTTCACTATGATCCAGTGCTATGGTCCGCTCTATTTCTGCATAGGTATGTGATGATGTCTCCTCCTGACTGGACTTGATTATCTTGGTTTCAATGAGGTGAACAATGTCCATTCGGTTGATCTTAGTCAGTCTCTTGATCAGTGTTGCTTCTGTTAAAAAACCCAAAACAGACTTGAAAGTTAAATTTTAAATCCAAATTAAAGCTTCTCCTTTGTTCTTGTGTAAAAAACAATAATTCTACGAAATACCTGACCTACTTATCACCAGAGGAAAGACCAAGTAATTGTTTTGCAAGTCACAAGTAAGTCCAAAGTCTTGGCACTCAAATCCCAAGTCAAGACCCAGGTTAAGACAGACAAGTCTGAAGTGAGGTCCCAAATCAAGACCGACAAGTCAAGTTCCGAGTTCTAAACTTTGAGCCTTGAGTCTTAAACAAGTCATAATGTGCTCTTCACCAAAAGTAATCCCATTTTAACAACAGAGTATTATTATATTTCAGTAAGGGCCACTTTAGTCAAAGAAAACTTTATTTCTATTTGCAGTTTGATATTTGGCAGTATGATTCTATTCTGGGACCTCTCTGCCCTTCCACGAGCCCACGTGGAAAGCTGAAAATGGAGAGAGCACACCTATCTGCCTTTCTATGTGCATATGAGGAAAGCCTGACGCAGAGAGAGCAAACCTCCCCGTTCTTCCATGCACCTACATGGAGAGCCTTAGGTGGAGAGAGCAGTAGCACAGACCCCTTGGGCACAGAGCAGAGCAAGCGTCAATGACAATCAGAAATGACACTGATAGTCAGACACAGCATAAAAAAGAGGAGGAGCTGGGGTGGAGGCGGGTTGCAAAGAGGCTTGCAGAAGAAGCAGCAACAGTAGGCAGGCTAAAGCAGTTTAAATAGGGCACCCTGAATAAGATTTTCAAATTGGTTGCATAGAAAGGAATCATCATTAATCATCAGTTGACAGCCCTCTATCAATCAGCTGCTTGAGATCTGCTGATGTAGGTGGGATGTGAGCTGAGCTTGACACCATGGCCTGACAGAATGCTATGCTCAATTAAATTTACAAAAATCATAAATACTTTTTAGAATTTGTATTTATTGATTACAACAAGTTGTTGGAAGTCTTTGCATCTGTGTAATTTTTGACCAGCAGATTTTGCAGAATGCTAATTGTTTTTTTTATTGACCACCACATACTCTTTGCATGTGAACAAAATTATCTCATTTTTTTCCAACTGGCGCTCAGAGGTCTAACATTAGTTCTTCATGGTTCTCTCCTGCATCTTGATTGGATGCTGTTCGATTGACAGACAAAGTGGATCATCTGGGAAATTAAGTGTTGACTTGCTGGGAATGAATAGCATTAATGTTGATTCAGGAAATAAAGGTAAATTAATTGATTTGTTTCACACTTTTTAATAACATACATTTTCATCTTTGGAGTTGGGGGAAGGTATCAAGTACTTTCAAGACAAGAGGCTCAAGTCAATGTCAAGTCACAAGTCACTGGTGTTGAAGTCTCAGTCAAGTTGTAAGTCTTTTTTGAATTTGTCAAGTTGAGCCTAAAGTCATCAAATGTATGACTTAAGTCCATATAGAGTCCAAGTAATGTGACATGAGTCCACACCTCTGCTTATCACTAACCTGAGGTATGCTTTCCCTCCCTCTCTGCCCAGAGTTTCAAAAGGGCATGGCTTTGGTCCTGTAGTGAGTTGGGGTTTTCTATCCTTATCAGGTTGATCTTCTCCTCACTGAAGTCCAGTTCTCGTGCCAACTCTGTGGAGAAAAGAAGGCATCGCAATGATCATGATCATCGTAAGATTGTTCCGAAACTATGTTTTTTGAGAGCCTGCCAAACATTAGCGTGTAAGTTTAGTGTGTTTTAGTGTGTATGTTTGGTAGCTTGATCACTGCTACTAGGGTGTGACTCACCTGCCCAGCTGAAGCCCAGGTGGTCGGCTATAATGGCCAACCGTTGCTCTTTTCTCTCTGCTTCATCCTGTGGATCTACTGCAAATACCACCAGACAGCCATGAGCGGTCAGAGCCGCGAGGTATACCAAATCAAGTCACATTTACAAATGGATTAGGAAAAAAAAAATCTTCACTGGCTTTCTTGTTCTTGTAGTTTGATGATATCAAATCTAACTTTGAACAAGTACATTATATGCCTGTAAACAATGGTCGTGATAGATCTATGATTAACATACATTTCAATCAATAGAAAATAAATGACATTACATGTAATAGTTTAAATAATGATTTACTCTTTAGTGACTAAGTTGTTTTCACAAGTTCCATAAAGCCTTTAAGTCAATCTTGAGATTTTCAGCACACAGAGAGGGAAAGAGAGACGTCATTATGAACACAAACACAGCTCAAACAACACAGCCACATGGAATCTTCAACTACAATGGGACTTAACTACAAGAGACAGAGAGGCAGCACCTTTACAGCTACAGTGTACTAATGAGGCACAAGAGATAGAGAATAGCCCCTTAAACTGGGGGGATACCTTGACTTTGGACTTTATCATCTGGGATTCGCTGCATCTGTGTCTCAACAGGGTCGTCCCACAGTGGTCTAATGGGAAAGACGTCTCCTGAGGGAGGGAACTGCATCTCAGGGAAAGTTTCTCTTTCTATGACTGATGGATCAATGACAATCCTCTCATCATCTGAGTTGGCAGCTGCAGCCTCTTGTTCTTTCTCTGTCTTCGTCTGTGCCAACCTTGCCACAAGTTTTGCTGCTTCATCGCTTATCTCTTCAAAGAATTCAATGGACTGTTTACATGGCTCACTTTTCTCTTTAGTAGGTGTTGATGAATGAGATGACTGGCCACCTTTACCTCGGACTGGCAGTCTGGACTGGAAGCCTTTGGACTTGGCTGACTCAGCACTCAAGGGACGACCTTGTTCTTTTTTAGCAGATGGCCTGGTAGATTCCCCCTCACAGAAGCTCTTGGCTTTGGAAGATGGTGTCTTGGTTTTGAAATCCACAGAGGGACCTGCGTCTGTCTCAGATTTTCTCCTTGAATCCTTTTTAACAGGGATCTTAAGCTTTTTGTCTGTGGTTGATTCAACGCGTTTGACAGTAGAATCGGGCTTGGGAGTGCTAGCCTTGATGGGAATTCTAGATTTAGATTCTGAAACAAAGGAGGACTCTTTTTTAAGTGTGGTTGAAGAAGAGGTAGCATGAGATGGAGAGGGAATTGTGGTCTTACCCTGACCTTCTGTAGCAGACTTAGCTTGTGTTTTAACTGGAGTCTTTTTAACACTACTGGAAGCACTTTGTTTAGATTTTCTTGTTGGTTTGGGGGTTTCTATCACTGACTGTGGTTCTTCTGGAGATGAATCGGAGGACTCTTGGCCCTGCTCAGAGTAAACTGATCTAGTGACTGTAGTTTCTGCCGTTTGTACAGTTGTTATTTGGTCAGGGGAATTTTTGTCTAAATCTAAGCATACTTCATTCACATTTTTGTCTGTTTTAGTCTCTAGACCTTCAGGGGATGTCTGATCTTTCTTTGTAGGTTTTGATGAGGCGGAAATACCCATTTTAGGGATTTTAGATTTGGAGGCATCAGCTTTAGAGGCTGTCTGATCACCTTCAGGTGGGGACTGAAACTGAGAATCAGTTGATTTCTCAGTCTCCTCAGTCTTAACCTCTAGTGTTAGATTGAGGCCAACTTCAGGTTCTGCTGCTGATCTCCTACCTTCTTGCCTGACCTCTTCTAAGATAGGCTCCTCTAAAGGCTGTTCACCTATTTGGAAAAAGGCAAAGCCACCCCCCTCTTCCTCATAACTCCTCTTAGTCATGTCAATAGCTCCACTTCGAGTCATCTCAAAGAGCTTCCCTTCTTGGAACAGAAAAGGGTTGGGCTCACTGGTAGGAGTGCTGTCTTCTGTTGGTGTTCTACCAGGTGTTGTATCCGGAGTTGCTTGCAAAGATTGACGGTCCACCACAAGATTCAATATCTTCTGTTCCTCCTCTTTGACACGAGCTGCAAAAGCAGCATCATCCTCCCGCATGGCAGACCAAGAGTCAGTGTCTACCCTCGCAGTGACACCTTTTGATTCTGTTCTGGGAGGTTCCAGTGCCTCATCATCCTCTTCTGTATCATCATAGATACAGACCTCTGGTTTGAAAACTTCCTTTGTTTGACCTGTGGCAACAGCTGAACCAGGTTCAGCCTCTGGTGCTCTTAAATGCTCCTTTTGATCTCCTTTCACTTCATCTGTAACATTGCTACCTTGCTTTAGTGTACCAGTCTGTAGCCTGCTATCTCCTATCCTCTGACCTTCTTTATCATCTCCTTTGTCTCTTGACTTCCTTAAGCTCTCCTCCTTTTGCTCATCAGTCCTGTTTTCAGTGTTTGATGTTGCAGCAGCCTTTTTGGCAGTACTGTCTTTTTCAGCTTTTGCAGAGTGTGGGACTCTTTGTTCCTGTGCAGTTTCCAGTTTGGATTTTGAACGATGCTGGTCTGAGACAGAGTAAGGTCCCTCTGAAGTGACAATGGCTGTTGTTCTTGTTGTGCTCTTGACCTCTTTGCTGTGGGATCCTTCATGCAAACCTGCTGAAAAAGGAGAGGGAGGTTGTACTTTAATATGGGGATCAACAAAAAGAGCTAACTTTGAATCTTCAGTGGGTCTATCGAGCCCACATTCACTTTGTGAAAGCCTCTCACTTGTGGGCTCTATTGTTTCAAAACTGTCATCCCCTATTTTGGGACCTGCTGAGGGAAACACATCTTTTCTAGAGTTCTTTTTGCTCCTCGCGTCTTGTTCCATTTCATCAAATGTTTTTATTTTGGCTGCCATCTTAAACATCTCCTCCTCTGGAGTGATTTTTCTCTTAGCGTCATAGCTGTCTGATGTATCCTCTTCTTCTGGGTCTTCAGGGATGGCAGCCGGTTTGGATGGAACAGAGAGGAATGAATGGTCAGGGGGTTTAGGGTTTACCTCATAACTTACCTCTTCAGAACTAGGAGTATCAGGGGAGAGGGGACTCTTACCGGAACTTGTCATCTGAGATGTCTGCTCACAACTGTCATCATCAGCACTAGTCTCATGGTCTCGAAGCAGCCTACCACGTAAAGCATCTTGGGGGAATTCTGTAGCTTTGGAGGGCTCTGGATGGCTAGAGGATTTACTGGGAGGACCTAGAGTTGATGAGAAGGAAGGGTGGCTTTTTTGCTCTACAGGGCTGTTCTCTAAGGAGTCATGGGGGGGTGATTCCTTGGTTGGGCTAGGTTCAATGGAATCTGGGGATTTATGGGAGGAGTTTTCTTCCATGAGAGGACTACCCTCTAGAGAGTCTCTGTGGCTTATTGTCAAAGAGTCATCAGCTAATGGACTGAGAGCATCTGAGTCTTGTCTTAAATGCAGCTCTAAGTGTTCATGACACTGAGAAGAGGATCTAGATGCAGGAGAACCAACTAAAGATAATGCTAGCAGATGATCAGGGTTCTCGTCATCGCTAAGAAATGATTCTACAGTCTCTGAAATTCTCTTTGTAAGCTTTTGAGGTTTGGATGGCTTAGCCTCGCTTCTCCTAACAGATATGGACTCACTTGTTGTGTGATCATCTGCAGCCTCGCTGGAAGAAACAGGGAGAGTCAATTCTGTAGACAGTTGGTCACCAGTGGTCCCTACACCAGAGTCTCCAGACTTCTGTGTGTCTTCACTTTCTTTTTTGATTGTTGTGGCAGCTGCTGCAGATGTTGTAGAAGTCTGCTGTCCAGTTTTGGGAGAAAGACACAGACTCTCTGGGCTTGTGCCTGGAGTGGCAAGACCCTCATGTTTGTAACTGTCCTCAGAGCTCAGATGAGCGTTACCATCTCCAGAACTGGCACTTAGTGAGTCTGCCACACCCTCATGTTTTAAGCTGTCAGAGCTATCATCAAGGCCACCATTTCCAAAGTCTACAGTTTCAGTTAGCTCTGAATGGGTGGCAGCAACTGACTTGGTTTCTATCTCTTTGTCTTGCTGAGTGGTATTTTTCTTGGGAGGTTTGGAATCCAAAGATACTTCTCGTTCTTGAGAGACATGTGAGGTTGTTGCTTTGGTCATGGATTTTGACTGGATGGTGTCTGATTTTGTGGTTTTCTCTGATCTTGACATAGTGGATGTTTTAAGTTCGAATAGCCCAGATTTTCTCTTTGAGGGGTCCTGCCCTGTTTGGAATGCTTGCATCAGCTCTTTAACTGACATGGTCTCCTCAAGTTTTTCAGATTCAGCTTTGGGGGATTTAGGTGGGCCCTGTTTTGACTTGGGGCTTTCTTTGGCTTTTGGAGAGGGTTTGCTCATAACAGGCAATTGTGAAGGTTTGGTTCCAGTGACCTTTTTGCTTTTCTGCTCTGCTTCTACTTTCTGTTGTAAGGCTTTCACTTTGTCCTTTATTGACCCAATGGGAGTTTCTTCAACCACTGGGGATACAGGTGACACTGGGGAAGGGGCTGTAGGCACACTTAGATGAGCACCTGCCTCTGTTGATTCCTCTGCCTGCCCCTGCTCTTTCCCCTTCCTTCTGACTGGCTTTTTAACATCACCAGCAGCTGCTTTGTCATACACTTTGGTTGGAGTAGATGGTTTCGCACTTTTGCGTAGCACGACATCAGTGAATTTTTCTTGGGTGGCTGGTTCTTTTTTAACTTTTATTTTGGAGCTTATTGGTGCATCCAGGAGGTATTCTTTAAGGTCACCACTGTCCTTTATAGCTTTAGGTCTGGGAGCCCCTCTGTTGGCTCTACTTTCCCGTAAGACAGGTTCTTGAGTTTCTAATGCTGCCATGTTTTTGGCCTCCTCTATCTCAGCATCTGAGAGGAGAACCCACTCCTCCGCCATTCTAGCTGCTTTTGCTGCCTCCTCTGCTGCCTCACCCTCATATGTTCCACTCCTTAGTATCTCACTGACTTTCTCTAGGTCCTCTTTGACTTTCTCTAAGTCCTTCTCCATTATTTCTAATGGCTCCCCAGAAACATCCTCAGTCCCTTTCTCTAGACCGCACCCTCCTAAGGAAGGGGATTTCTCTGTGGAGTCTGCAGTCAAGATGGCAGTCATTTTGATCAAATCTTGTTTCATCTCTGACACGTCGGATAGGAGGTCTGGTCCTCGAATCAGGTCTGATTTCAGGTGTGACGCTGCCGTCTCTTCATCTTCCATATGGAAGAAGAACAAGTAAGGAGTAAAGAAAATCAAAAATCCAAATGAAAGGAGACAGACATTGGAGAATGTGGTCAGGACAAGATTGGAGCACAGTGCAGGGGTCATAGGACAACAAAATTCACAAAGGGTTCTACATTAGGGTATCAGAGGAATTGGGCTTATACTTTCATGTGTCTCTGGGGAACAGTGGTAAAGCAAAGGCTAAATAATACTGATGGAAAAGGATATTAGCAGGAAATAACTTGCTTATACACTCAGTGCATCCACACTCACAAGACAAAACTAGAAAACAAAACTAAAATACATAAAAAACAATACTAAATGTGAGTGAAACCATGTAACCAAGATACCAAGAAGTACAATGGAAAAGGGTCACCAAAGGAGACAAATAAACAACATCAAGACATCTCAAGATTGCTCGGATGTATGACAAATGTCAATGTGATAACAGGCAAAAATGGCTTGAAAACAACCTAGGCTGCTAGTTACATCTATCAAAGAAAGCCAGTGATAACTTGAAAGAAATTGATGATTTGCATGCTTTTCATTCTATACAAAAACAAATCATTTACTTTCACAGAATTTCAGGAAGATATATACATAAATATATGTTTATTTAAACATTTGAAATGTAACTGAAATGAAAACTGAAGTAACAAAAAAAACCTGTGCACAAATCCATAAGCAAATGGTTGTGAGGGAGGATTCCAAAATCAGGACGCCAACAAAATAACTCCATTAACAAGACCATACATATAATCATACAGACATACAAGCACACGCATACACATACACATTTATGTAAGGCAAGTTATTTCCATGCAAAGCAAAGGGAAATGCTGATGGACAGGTTTCAGTGAAAAGTGAATGGAGTGAGAGGTAAATTTGAATCAAATTAATTAAATCTGCAATTAGAGGATAAGAGGTGCTTATGCTCAAGAGCTGCTTATTAATATGTCTTCCTTCAGTAATGTGGTGAGTTCATGGTCCATTTACACAACTACTGTTATGACATACAGTATCAGTATTATCTATATTACATATCACCTATATTACTCTTTCCTGAAAACATATACATGTCATTTTAATCCCTGATGTCATCCATGTATGTTTCATGTATAACATGGGTTGTTTTATTATGAGATTAATTTATATGCTCAAGTATACTGTATTTGCCTGTTTCTATTTCAGTAATTTTCTCATTTCCACACGGACAAGGCAAGGATGGAAGAAGGGGAAGGATTCAGAGTGGCTAAGGAGGTTGATGACATTTTACTTTACCATTAGACTACAAGACTACAGCTAGAGGAATAATAATATTCTGGCCTCTAATATCCTGTAACTGGGTGCTTGCACAATCACTATTACCCAGTCCCAGGAACTTGAAGCCCAAACGACGTGGGTGTGGACAACTGATTTTCTCCCAGATTTGCTTTAATGAAGACCTTGTCTCATCTCCTTTAAAAGCTGCTCTCATTCCCTCCTAGCTGCCCAACCTTTTCTCGTACCAACTCGTCAAATACTGCCACTTTGTCAGTGGACTTCAAAATATGACATGCAAGGAAGCCTCCTATATCTGTTTTGGACGTTTACGGATGGTGCGTCAATTTACCCGTCACATGCCCTGAGTCTTCTCAAAATAAACTTCCATTTTCACAGGAAATGTTTCTGCTCACACAGTGCGTATCATATCGTAGCAAAAGGTGCCTCTGTGCATCTGTGTCTGACGCCAACATCCACTGACAAAGGGGTCAGATTTGATGACTTGGATTGTTGCCCGCTGTCTCTAAAAGTGACATGCTTGGTGCATATCATACAGCCATGAAAGGTGCCTCTGTGTGTCAGCGTCTGACGCCAATGTCCACTGACAAAGCAGTTGTATTTGACAATCATATTGTCGTCAAAGGTGCCTCTGTGCAATGTTGTCTGATGCTGACATCACTGATAAAGCTGCGGTGTTTGACAAGTTGGGAGTGAGAATGGGCTGAGCTGCCATATAATGACTAAACTAACTGCAAGGGATTGGAAAACATACATCCCACAAGCAGCTGTGAGGGACATTATTGGCAAGAGTCTCAGTGATTTAAGAATTACAGAGTCTGTCATTAAAACTTGTGTTTTGATGATCATTTAAATCTGCACTTTGCAAAATACGTGAAAGGATTGTTTGGTGATTTCAGAGAGCTCAAATTGTCCACTAAACCACTAAATTATTTTGATCCTTGTTCAGACTCTTGTGGTTTGTTTTGTTTTATATGCCAAAACAAATGTGCAAATTACACTTTGCCTCTTGAGCTGCATATCAACAATCCTAGTTGTGTCACTCCACCCACCTCAACACAAATGGGTTTGTTTAGAGCCACTAAATGACCAAACAGGGACAAGCACAATAAAATTAACGCAATGAAATTAGCATTTTGATTAGCTAGGACAGAATTAGAGGCTGCCGTCACATAAACATCATCACAGTATGAATGCATTTAATTTAATACACGTATGTAGATGGCAGTGTTTAACCCTTTCACCAAATGTCCCTAATTTTGAAAGGCGAAAGAGTTAAACTGGAGAAATTTGGATGGTTGAGAAATCAAACAAAAAGTAAAAAGTGAAGTTAAGCCTCAGGAGAAACAAAACATTGACATGGAGAGTTTGTGTGACAAGACAAAAGTACATGAAGCTTAAAGGGCTTTGATAAGATGTAGATGGTCTACGAATTAACTAATTCAACTAAGGCAATGCTGGGGGTGTCAGTGTATCAGCCTGGTTATTATTCTGCAAACGCTGTTTAACTACATCAGACTAATCATCCATACAATATCAGTGTTATTGTCATATTAGCTTGATTAATACAGACATGCAGTATTATTAGCAAATCTTTTAGTACTAGTTATAGAGGAATATTGAAAGGAAAAAATGTCTTACATTTCTCTAGCGTTCCATTGGTCTGGGGAAAAAAGGAAAATAGATCAGGGTTAGTCTTGTTTCATCCACTGTATGTGCCAAATATTGTAAAACTGTTGCTACTTTAGGAAAAGAACACAAAGGACACACATAACAACAGCAAAAATGAGCCACTGACAAATCACAATCTAATTTACTACAATACATAAAATATATGCAACGTATGATATTTGACTACTTGTGAACATGTCCTTTATTTAGTTCTGATGACAAGACAGTTGACAGGATAGATCAGCAGAGCTAGTTAGTAGAAGAGGGAGGGGGAAGCTGTGGCTGCTTTTACCTCTTCCTCTTGCTCTTGGTCTGAATCTGACTCCTTTTGGGAGCAAGAAGCAGCGAGAAGCAGATAGATGTACAGATAGAAACAACAGCAAGGGGAGAAAAAAAAAGACAGTGGGCAATGCGTGGTTACCATAGAAACGAAGACAACCAGTCAGTATGATTTCAGGGAAAGCTAAAGAGATCTTTAAAGCAGCATTATGCAGATTCATTTAGTTAGCTACAATCATACATTGATCTTTATTTTGTCTCCTGGCACTTCTGCATCTGGCATTGCAGACTAGCAATGCTAGCCAGACTAGCCATCACACTGCATTACTTCTGAGATTTTAATGTCCGGGTCGAGCAAATTCAGTGATTTCTTTCTCAATACATTATACATGTTAGAAAATACTTGTTGAAAACATGTGAAAAGACTGGTAACTGTATAGTACTGAATTGTGGCATTAGACTGTTTTCACCAATTCTGTGTCCAGGAATATTTGGGCAGGCCAAAAGCATGCTCCATGATGCAGAGCCATCCTTAACATAACCTCTCACCTACTACAGCGCCTTGCAAAAGTATTCACCCCCCTAGGAATTTTTCACGTTTTAAAACCTCACATCCTGGAATTAAAATGTATTGTTTGAGCATTTGCATCATTTCATGTACAGAACATGCCAACAACTTTGAAGATGTGAAAAATTTTTTTTATTGTGAAGCAAACAACAAAAAGGCCCAAAAACAAAGAACTTCAGTGTGCATAATTATTCACCCCCCTGAAGTCAGTACTTTGTAGAGCCACCTTTTGCAGCAATTACAGCTGCAAGTCTCTTTTCATAAGTCTCTATGAGCTTGCCACATCTTGCAACTGGGATTTTTGCCCATTCTTCATGGCAAAACTTCTCCAGCTCCCCCAAATTGGATGGTTTCCGCTTGTGAACGGCAGTCTTCAAGTCAAACCAGAGATTTTCAATTGGATTGAGGTCCGGGCTTTGACTAGGCCATTCTAACACATTTAACTTCTTCTCCTTAAACCATTCAAGCGTAGCTTTAGCAGTATGCTTCGGGTCATTGTCCTGCTGGAAGGTGAACCTCCGTCCCAGTCACAAATCACAGGCAGACTGAAACAGGTTTTGCTCCAGAATGTCCCTGTATTTAGCACCATCCATCTTTCCCTCTATGCGGACCAGTTTCCCAGTCCCTGCTGCTGCAAAACATCCCCACAGCATGATGCTGCCACCACCATGTTTCACTGTGGGGACGGTGTTCTTGGGGTGATGGGATGTGTTGGGTTGCCGCCAGACATAGCATTTCCCTTTGTGGCCAAAAAGTTCAATTTTTTCCGCCATACATTTAGGGGGTCGGCCACATGCTTTTTGGCAAACTCAAAACGTGCTTTCTTGTTTTTAACACTAAGTAAAGGCTTTTTTCTGGCCACTCTTCCATAAAGCCCAGCTCTATGGAGTGTACGGCTTATTGTGGTTCTATGGACAGACACACCAGTGTTTGCTGTGGAACTCTGCAGCTCCTTCAGGGTTACCTTTGGTCTCTCTGTTGCCTCTGTAATCAATGCCCTCTTTGTCCGGTCTGTGAGTTTTGGTGGTCGGCCCTGTCTTGGCAGGTTTGTTGTGGTCCCGTGTTGTTTCCATTTGGTGATTATGGATTTGATGGTGCTCCAGGGGATCATCAAAGATGTAGATATTTTTTTATAACCCAGTCCTGACTTGTATCTCTCTATAACTTTGTCCCTGACTTGTTTGGAGAGCTCCTTGGTCTTCATGATGTGATGCTTCTTGCTAAGTGGAGTTGCAGCCCATTGGGGCCTCTCAGAAAAGGTGTGTTTATACTGACACATCATGTGACACTTAGATTGAACACAGGTGGACTTCATTTAACTAATTCTGTGACTTGTGAAGGTAATAGATTGCACCAGCGCTTTTTAAGGGGCTTCATAGCAAAGGGGGTGAATACATATGCACATGCCAATTTTCACTTTTTTATTTCTTTAAATTATTGTTTTATATATATTTTTCTCATTGCACTTCACCAACTTAGATAACTTTGTGCAGATCCATCACATGAAATTTTCAGATGAAAAACATTTAAATTACAGGTTGGAATCTAACAAAATAGTTAAAAAGCAAAGGGGGGTGAATACTTTTGCAAGGCGCTGTATATAAATACTACATTACTAGTAACTTTAGAGTGCATAGTATCAGTGTTGTTTGTTTTGCCCACTGTGTGTGAGTGGCGAGTTGTCTACATCCCATGAGCTCTCTGAGCTCTTTCAGTCTAACAAATACATGAATAAGCATCTCTATTAATGCAGTCATATAAACACAAGCTAAAGAGCTGTCACTAACAAACCTTTCAGTCTCTAATGAGTGTCTGTTGCTTCGTGGCCACTCTGTCATTCTTTGGCTCGGAGTAGTGTGTGTTGTGCGCAATTGTGTTAGCTTGAGTTAGCTGTTAACAAGTCTGTCGCTGCGTGGCAGCTTGTTCCTCAACTCGGGGTATGTGTGTGCTTTGTGCTACTGTGGCTCACTGGGTAAGAGAAGCAGTTTTTCCCAATACTATATCAGCTGCTCATAGAATTAGCACAGTTTAATACTTTGGATATCAAACATTAGTTAATTAAATAGGAATGTGCACTAAGGAATACTGAATAAGAAAATAATTGTTTTGGAACAGTAGTAGTTGATAAGTGGGAGATTAGCGTGTACTACAGTGGTACAGACAAAATAGGCTCAAGACTGCAGTATGGTCTAGCTTACAAACAGCTGTAGTATTTAATTAAAGTACTTTTTATGAACTAATGAACATAACATAAAGCATCCTCTGTTGAGTCAAAAAACAGTGTAGTGCCCTTACCTTGCAGTACGATGGAAGGGTGATGTTGAGGTTGCATATGGCATTCTGGGTGAGTGACCTGTAGTTCCTGGGTTCTTTCATAAAGGACAGACGGCCACATGGCTCCTGAGTGTTATCTCTGATCTGCAGCAGTTCAACATTTGTCAGTCAACTGTTCATCAGGCAAAGTCATGATTGATTAGAATGTTATAAGTGATCACAATTCAGTTTGATGAATTGTTGTTGACACTCGCTGCATATATTAAACATACTCTATGGTTGTTTCTTTGTGAAATAGATAAAAAATAGTACTCGCTTTTATAAAGAGCGCTAGTCTGTTCTCCTTAAAGGCAAAGAAGCTGAAGAGATGGTGCTGGCCACTTTTGGTGAGAGGAACAAGGTTTCCAAAGCAGTCTGCATAGATAGGTTTGCCCTCTAGGACCTGAGAAATATAACAACAGGCAGATGAGTATAAGAACTGAATACAAAATTCAATCAATGAAAACACGCAGTCCCTTATTTGTTTAAACAGTGGTCTTTCACTTTTTCTCCCCTCGTTGCTCAAGAAACCTAGCCTTGACAATTGAACATAGCTTTTGAAAAAATCCGACCCATCCCCAACTTGCAAGTGTTTTTGAAAAAAAAAAAAAGTGGTTTTCCTAAAGTTTTATGAATTACCATCATATTTTGAAATCTTTTTATAAGGTTTCTTTTCACTTTATGGTACCATACTAGTCAGTCTCAGACTAGCAAGTCATACTGCTGATCATGCAATTTTGTTGAAAAATGTGTGGGATACTGCCTCAGTAATGGTCTAAAATGCCTCAATCTGGTGTCAACTTGATCCTGTGGTATCCCACAAGGCTTCACCCTGGACCCCCATTTGTTCCCAGTGTACACACCTTGACTAGGATGAATATGAACCCACACAACTACCATTGTTATGCAGATGATACACATATCTAAGTCCTAGTAAAAGCCAGTGGGGAAAGCACTTGTACCATCTTATGTCTTGTTTATCAGAAATCAAGTGTTTGATGACACACTTCCTCAAGCTAAATGAAAACAAATCAGAGAACTGTATTTGGTCCTTCCCCAAGTCCACTTTACACTCCCCACTTTACTCCCTGTCTGCAAACACCAAACCTGTAGAAACTTCAGTGTAATCTGGGACAGTGATCTCTCGACTGACAAACAAGTCACAAGACTTGTCTAATCATGTTTCCTCAAATTAAGGAACATCCTAAATCAGGTCATTTGCTTCTCACGGTGGTCTTGAGAGGGTTATTCATGCTGTCATATCACCATGTCTAGATTATTGTAGTTCATTGTATTCAAGGTAAAGGCAAAACTTAATCTTATGCCTTTAGCTGGGACAAAATGCAGCTGGTAGGCATTTTAAGTAAAGTGAGCTACACCTGCCATCAGCTGCAGTTGGTGAGACATTCCTCCCCAACTCTCCTTCCTCACCTCAACATCTCGGCTGCGAGCCACCTCAGTGAAATTCTCTTGCTGCTCCAGGGTTTTGTCAATCTTGTCATCTGTCATGCAGAAGCAGCGCAGTCTGGCCTCAATGGGATCGTGGGTCTTGGCAAAGATGACAAACTTGGCCATATATGGGACACAGATGATCTCTCGGTAGACCTGAGTGGAGAAATTGACAGATTCCTGGACCTGTCGACAGTCTATCAGCCAGAATCTAGAAAGCAGAACAGATGGGGATCAGAAAGAACCAGTGAACTTAGGTCTCTTTTGGCTGCAGAATCTGAATCACTTGAACACAGTAATGCATATAGTTGTGCTACAACAGATGCTTTTTGTGTTACCTTGCAGACACATTGGTGGTGAAGGAGACACAGTCGTTGATGAATGTTAACGGAGTGGTTCCTGTTATATCCTCCCATTGAGCAGGTGTTGTTCCACCTGTACATGGACACAAATGCAAGGTTGACATATTAGAGTATGAACATGTGTCTTGCTGGTCTTTTCACAGCTTTGTGTGTGTATTTGTGTGCACTCTCTAACCAGTTATACTACAGAGCAGTCGTAAGGTGGGGGTATCCCCTCCGAAGCCATTTAGGACTGGGTCGGAGTTGCTCTTGGGGACAGAGATGGTCATGGTGATGGGTTTATGGAACTTCCTCCTGCGTGGCTCTAGGGTGACGATGGGGCTGAAGGTGGCCTTGCTCCCCAGTATCTTCCTCACTACATCCACATTCACTGGCTGGGCCTAGGAGAGTATACAGAGCATACTTTGTAATGTACTAGTATTCCAGCATGTTGTGGAATTACAGGAATGTACATATATTTTTAGCAGGAAATAGTATGGACCATTTCTACCTTTACAAACACAAATCTTTCAGTGGACCCCAAATGCTAACTGTGTGGCTACGGGAATAGTAATGTTGGTTGGTTGTCAGTTGGTTGAGCCACCACTTCTGTCTAGACTAAAATGTTGTGGTAAGCATGGGATGTGCTGTGCCTTAGTAAACTGTCATAGATCAGCCTTCTTTTCTAGTGCGGAAGTCAAAGAAATGTCACAATGTAGCAAAGGAAGCCTTGCACACAGAATAAAAATAGATTTCTCTAGCTTTCTCTTTTTCTAGAGCTAGGAATGTGCGAGACATTATATTATTATATATATATTATATTATATTATATATAATATTATTAGTACCGGCAGACACACACAACATCTCCACCCACCAGGGACATCTGGACAATGCCACAGGTTTTTTTCCTTGCCGCACTTGTGCTACATGCACTAATTGCAAAAAGGTGAATACTTCTACAAGTTTTGTTGCCAAAATTAAGTATAAAACATCATGTAGCTCCAGGATTGTTTCACCTTCTTGCATGCACCAAATGTGGCATTCAGTATGTAGGTAAAACATGAAGACAACTTAGATTCAGGATCAACGAACATAAAGTGCCATTCGCAGTGCCGATTCTAAATCAGCTGTTGCTAGACACTTCTCAGATGGTAATCATTCTACATCAGATTTGGCATACTGTGGCAGTGACATGATGGTACCTAATCACCATGGGGGTAATACAGACCAAATTCTACTCCAGTGTGAGTGCAGATATATCTTAAACCTTAAAACACTTCATCCCATTTTCTGTGACGCATTTTATTGTTTTTCTGTACTAACTAGCCACACTTTTCAGTGTTACATTGTTTTCCAGTGTTCAATGAATGTATGTATGTATTTATGTGTACCAGCACTTGCTTGTGGCTATGCTTTGTAGTGCTTGCTATTGGACTATTGGACTATTGGACTATTGGATGATGTGGCCTGGTGGTAATTGTCTTCATGTGTGCTTTCTCAAGCTGCTGATGACTGACCAGGTGCACCTGTACGAGTGACCTATGTATAATGGTGAACCAGTATGCATGCCTCATTCTGCATTGAGGCAAGTCCAACATGGAAAGAAACATTTGCACTTTTTGCACTCTGCGCACAATCTATAGCAGGGGTCTTCAACATTTTTTAGGCCAAGGACCCCTTGGCTTAAAGAGGGACTGAGCAGGGACCCCCTTCTCCATATAATGTATAAAAGTGAGTTGCACTTGAGATAATTCTCTGAATATGTTTGAGTCTTCTCTTGTTTGCCTATCACTGCTAAGTCAGCAGCAGTTGTAGCATGGCTAGGTGCATTAGACTCGCCCTCTTCACTTTTGCCTGTGTTTTCTGAGGTGGACAGTGTGTCAAAGTCTCTTGCTCGAAAAGTTACAAAATGATCCACTGCAGCTCCAAGACTGTCCATACACTTGGAATAATAATACGGCCTATTGGCCATTACATTTAGCTAAATATTAGTAGTAGTTCACCTCAGCATTATGGTGCCACACACTGATTTAGTATAAGCTAGCTAACATGACTGCACAAGGATTCATGAGTAATTATTAGCCTATCACTAATGTTGTATACTGTAAATTGAAAGAATTTTTATTCTTTATTTATGAATAGGCCAATTTATCTTCACTAACAAAATACTGGATTCATGTTAATGTGTATTATTTTTAGACACATTTTAATTAAAAATACAAAAAAAAACTTAAATTAAAACTTAAGTTAAATGGTAAAATAATAATTTGGCAGCCCATGTGCAGTAACTCTTAGGACCTGCAAGGGGGTTGCGGCTGCACTGTTGAAGACCCAGGGACTATAGTAATGCTTTTGTGAATTACCTGCAGTCCAACCCTGATTCTCTTGGTGAGGGCCCCCTCAGGAAAAACTGCCTGGACTTGGGGCACAACAGTGCTGCTCAGGATGCCTCCTTCTGGACCAATAAGATTACTGTCTTGCTTGATGCGCGACACCACCGCAAAGTATTGTGGGAAATCTCTAGTGATGATGCGGCAGATGCGCTTCCTTTCCAGCTCCTCTGGCGTGTCAAGATCTGGAGATGGAGGGGCAGAAAGGGACAAAAGTCAGGGACAATAATGAAGGAATATAGATATGCATTCATACTTTTATGCTCCACTATCCAAAACTCTTGGTGCAGTCTGGCACGCCATCAGAGACTAACCCTCATCCATGCCATTGAGTATCTGGTTGAGTTCCTCCTGGGTGTGTTCACAGTGATGCTCCTTCCAACTCTCTCCGGTCTCACTCCTCAGAATCACAAGCTCCCTCTCTTTCCCCCGCAGGGCAGCAAAGTGGGGGATCTCCACAATCACAGGACTGAAGGGGTAGAGGCCAGTAAGTATCAGTAAGTATAGAACGTCATAGAAGATAACAGTGTTTATATAAGTGTCTCTTTGCATGTGTGTGTTTGTATTTAGCAGGTTGCCATCTTTGGTCTCATTTACGTAGACTATTCTTGGTCAAGACCATTATTTGGTGTCAAATCTAGATTTTCCTGTCTTTCTAAAATTCAAAAAGGTATGTTTTTCTTTACAACGTTTTTGGCGCCACATGTTTGTTCTCCAAAGGCTCAATAGGTCGGGCTGGGTATCCATACTTGATGCCTTTAAGGTAACGACCATAATAAGCCAGTACCAAGTAATATTAAAACTTCTCCAAACGTTGTCTGCATCTGATCCTTTTGTACCCAGGTCTAGAAAATGACCTTGTATGGTTTTGCTTGCAGCCAATCATCCTAAGCGTTCATTGATATAATGTAACGTTTGACTGGCCCGTTAAAGGGTTTGAGTTTTTCCTTATTTGCTGTGAGGGTCCTAAGGACAGAGGGATGTCGTATGCTGTAAAGCCCTGTGAGGCAAATTGTGATTTGTGATATTGGGCTTTATAAATAAAATTGATTGATTGATTGATTGATTGATTGATTGATTCTGCAGCAGCTACAACCCATACAGTCTGTGGTGTGGTAAAATCAAGTGGGGTGTGTTTGACAGAGTTGGCAGTTCAGCTTGCCGAGATATACTGCACGCCTGTGGTGTCTGGTGCCATTTCATGCAACTGAATGCTTCCATTTCCAAGGGTACTGAATGTAGTGGGGAAAAAAAGATATCAAATTAAGTACTCTATTGGTATTGGTATCACAGTAAGGGTACTGGTATTTGTACTGGTATTGTCATTTTTTAAAAATATACCCAGCCTTATGCGCAGGTAGTGTTTACGTCTTTAATACACCTTACATAACTTAGTTAATGTTTTAGAAATAATTTTTGAGTAAGTACAAGATGAACGCAAATGAGACAGTGTACTGACTTCGGCGTTGCTATAGTCAGGCTGTTCTCATGCACAGTTCATACATTTTTCTATGAAAAGTAATGCACCTGAATTCATACATCACAAGTAATCATTAGCCAATAATGTGTGCATAACCCACGAATTTTGGAAGGCTGCAATCACAGGACTGATGCGCTGACTTTCCCCTGAGACTTTACCTAGGAGACCAGTGGTTGGAACCACGTGAACTCGAAGTTAACTTTTAGTCATTTCCTTACAATGTTTCTTTTCCTTAAAGCTATAGTACGTAACTTCTACAGGTCCGTAAATGTCCTTTTCACCCAAGCCACAACTAGAGGAGATGACACAATGCTGATTAAGCCGATCGGCTCCTGTAACATCTCACGGTATTTTTCAATATATATCATTTTTAGTTTGCGTGTCGACCGGCGACATTCCTGCGCTGGTGCGCGGGAAATGCTTCCTCACAACAAGAAGGGAGGGGGAGGAAGAGCAGAGAGTGTCATAGCAAGAGGTAGAGCACAGGTACAAAGAGAAAGCAACATGGCGGAGAAGCGGCTGAGACACGGTTCAGAAGTGCATCCTACCACAAAGAAAAAGCCTGGACGTTCGGCTGAAGGTTTATTAGCAAAGAAGGAAAGTGACCGACGGAGAAGGCAAACAAGGATTTGTATTGGCATCGCTTTTCCTCGGTGAAGAGCCCTGAAGGAAGAAATTGGGCTGAGGGCAGACACAGATGATGCCTTGCTGCTGTTGGATAAGTAAGTGACTTGGTTTATAATTATATTATGAGTAGTATGTGTTGCTGTTACATGTACCGGACCTAGTACTTTATTATTTTCTTGGAAATGGTGCTATGAACGTAATGTAATGTTAGCAGCCTGGTGTTCGCCACGTTGTGTAGCATTGTGTACACGGTGTGAAGCAAGTGTTACTCTGTGTACATGGTGTGTGCCGACTGGCGAGTGTTATTCTGTGTACGGTGTGTGGCAAGTGTTACTCTGTGTACGGTGTGTGGCGACTGGCGAGTGTTACTCTGTGTACACGGTGTGGCGACTGGCGAGTGTTACTCTGTGTACACGGTGTGTGGCGAGTGTTACTCTGTGTACATTAGTACATTATTAGTTGTAATAATGCATTATCTGCTGGGAGGCGACAGAAGTTACACACTATAGCTTTAACCTAACCACATTAACTTTTACTTGCCCAAACCTTTCCTCCATAACTTTACATTAATTACACAACTTTAAGTTAAAGACACAATGTCATTTGTGGGGCGCTATTTCGTAGGATATCATACAAACCTTTGTATGAGGATAAGTTGCTTTAGTGCTCTGGTTGCATCAGCCATGCATGAGTGCACAATCCAGGTGGATTTACATGTAGAGTTTACCTTGCCGTATTGTGCAAATTCTGCTGTTTACCTAGTTAGCATCAAGGCAACCTTCAGAACTTTTACTGCTGCACAGTGAGCTGCTTACCTTTGATGCTCACTACAATGTAAAATGCTAGTTGTGAGCAACACATTTTAACGGTAACATAGCAAGGTACAAATAGAAGAAGTGCATTTCGCCATATTTGAATAAGTGTTTGAAGCATATTCATGAGTAGCAGAGAACTGGAATATGCTAATGCTGTAGTTTGAGAAGGTGGTTGAAGTTGTGCTTTGAAAACTATGCTAACTATTCCAACTCCTATTGTTAGAAAATGTCAATACCTACAGGGGATGAGTCACCCCTCTTAAGAAAAATGTTCTGGTAGACTGACTGTATTTAATAGTAAGAATTGAACCATCACTTCAATAGCCTGCTTACCTGTTATGCAAAATGACAACAAGCTAGATACAACACATATCTACAATAGGCATGCTACAAGTACAATCCAACATTGAACAAACACAACTATAAAGCATAACTGCTAATATTTTCCTTTTGACATTTTGAAGGTTCTTTGGCCTGACAGTAGATGGTCATCTTTATTTCTATTGTTACCATTTTTGACATTAAACACATCATTTTCAAATATGTTATTTCAAAGCTAGCACTTGCCAGCTTTGTACTTTGTTGCCCCAATTGTTGGCAGGATAATCTCCAATACCTAGAAATTAGATAATGTGATCATGTCCTTCTTTCCTAAATGTTGGAAAAAAGTAGCATTCAACATGTTAAGACTTTGTAATTGTCTCTAAATTGTCATTTTCTTGCTATATTATAGTAAGGAAAATAGCCAAAAATTATCAGCACACATGACTGCGATATTTAACAATTTGGGGAAAAAAGCCTGTCAGGCAACCTAAAATTTATATATCAGGGAGAAAAAAAGCCTACTACTCACAGGCCACACAACCATTCAAATCTCACACAAAAATTAAAAATAAAATCTTCTAACACATTTATTAAGAAAAAAGGAAGCAAGAAAACACAAACACAAAGATGGAAATGCCAAGCAGAAGAGAGGAATTCAAGAAAAATAGAAGCCGCAAATTAAAGTCACAGCAATGTGATGTCTAGAGGGTCATAAGTACCAGATGAGATGGGGTAAGAGACAGCAGTGCAAGCACAACACAATAACCTATGGACAAAATAACATCAAATGGAAGGGTTTGTAAAATAAAACACTGAGACCAGCATCCATGGATTGTTTCATATGCAAAACTGTTTCTTTCCACCCTACCCAAGGAATTTTGTCCCCGGTGGGCCGAGCTGGAGGATTCTGCTAACCAAACTCTCTCCCTCATTAAGAGGTGGAGGGGCACTGGGTAGGTGGAGTTTACTGTGTGATCAACCAAGCGTCCATACGCAGCAGTGAGGAAGAAAGAGCACACACAATGTTTTGGTTGGGTGCAAAATAAAAACCTTGGGGACTTATTTGCAGTAGTTGAATGAGATTATTAACATGGTGGTAATTTTTTGCTGCATGCCTATGGAGACCAAAAGTGTTACATACACACAATTTGGTAACACTTTCTATGAAGACCACATCTATAATGATTTATAGTAAATTCTAATGTATTTATTATGCTCTATGACTGCACTCATAAACACACATGATGCTTCCTGATGCACTATACCAACAGTCATAAAACATTATAGATGTGACTTATAAAAAAAATTAGAAGTGTCTTATGGATGCTCTTGACTAGTTATAAACTAGAGGTTGACTGATGGAGCTTACGATGCATTGTGAATACCTAAACTCACCTATACATACCTCAACAATCAGCTGTAGTACGGACTCATAGTGTAATAGTCCATGCAGTATCATAAGTTATCATTGTATGTGTTAAGTAAAGTACATATTGATGCATCTATAATAATGCATGCTTCATCATAACGTCTGATTGTTGGTGCTTAAGTGTGATGCATTCATGTATTTTTGCGAATCTTTGAGGCATCATATCATACACTAGAATACTCTGAAAATACTTTTAAAAGACTGAAGTCTGACACCCTCTCACATCTAAAGACAATGTGTCATGGGTCAGAGAGTTTTTAGTAACAGAATAAGATTTTGCAAAGACTGAGGATCTTGCATCTTGCTTCACTCATATAAATGGTTACATGAGGTGATTTTTGAAGCCAGTAATCTTTAGTTACTCCAGTGGCTATCGTTAGTTTGCAAATTGCTTTTGAGGGCTGCAGCAAATATTGTCCACATTTTTCCTTCTCTACTCTATCATGGCATCCATAGTACAAGATAAATGGCACAGTTGCTTCAGTGGCATTACCAGTCTGCATCTTGAGCATGTTCCACTTGATCTTACCCTACTTTGCTGTGAACTGGCTGGTGTTACTTCTCTGTGATTGGCTAGTACTTATTTCCTCCAGTTTTCATTCTCGATTGATTAACTGTTAAAATTAACACATGTTGCTACATTTGTCTTAGACTGTGGGAAAGATGGATAAAGTGGAGTTGTGGAGTAAACGGGAATGTCTTTTTGACATCCCCTTACATTTCTGAGGACATGTCAAATGATAGAGTGGAGAAGTAAATATGTGAACAGAAATTGCTACAGCTCCTGAAATACCCTGTAAGTATGCTAGCTAACTAACCACTGTAGGGGCTACTTGCAAGTTTATGTTAGCTACTGGAATGTTTGCTAGTAGCCTACAAGCTACCTTTACGTTTCAGCTGAAGCCTGCTAGCTTCAAAAATTATATCATGTAACCATTTATATGACCGAAGCAAGAAATCTTCAGCTGAAATGTATGGTTAGCTCATGGGCTATTGCAAACATTATAGTAGCTAAAGTTAGCTTACTAGCAGCCTTGCTTGAAATGGGGAAAATGGTTAGCATACTAACTGGGAATTCTGGTTGCTGCAACATTTCTTTCCACTTGTTTTCCAGTCTTGCAAATAATTTCTGTTTTTGCAAAAATCTGCTTCTGTGACAAAAAACTTACTCCTTACTAGAGTTAATTGTTAAAGTGTGTATGGGTGAGTTTTGGTATTCATACTGCATCACAAGCCCCATCAGTCAACCTCTAGTTTATAACTAATCAAGAGCATCCATAAGATCCATAATTCATTATAAGTCATATCTATAATGTTTTATGACTGTTGACATAATACACCAGGAAGCATATTTATTATTTATGAGTGCAGTCATAGAGCATTAAAAATGCATTATAAGTCAGTATGAATGGCCTTATAATGCATTAAAGATGCGGTCTTCATAGACAGTGTTACCCACAATTTAATATTATTATAAAATTGAAATTGTGAAATATTTCTGTATTTTTGTTTGAACTCGTTATTATGAGATGTTTTTTTCATACTGCTTCTTTTCATTATTACTGTCAGTTTCTTTTGGTTCCAGCAGTTTTTATTTTAAAATAACATATTTTCAAAATCAGTTCTGTTTCACATTGCTATTTTTTTCCAATGACAGTTTCATAATGGCACTTTTCATCACAAAGTCTTTTTCTGGCAATCAAGACAAACAGGGCAGTCCATCAAATGTGATTAGTTAGTCTCCTGGAATTAAAGTAAAGAATGACCTGATATAAACTGTTAATGTCTGTTATAGAGACAGAGCACATATAAGTCCCGCCCCCAGTGTGGGGGAAACAATTCATTGCACTCCATTAACTTTGTACTGCGTGAAGGTGCTCCCTTGTCATTACTGTCTGCTAGAAAACAACAACAAAAAATCCTAAAAGCTGCTTTGTGTTGTGGTGCACTACCAACATGGTAAGGAATCCATGATGAAGCATCCTTTAGATGGTGTCAGGAGTTTAAATGCTGCAAGACTGAATTCCCCATTTTCTAAATAAAAGTGGTGTGCTACAAGGTTTACTACAAATTATATCTGTGCCTAAACACAAAACTGCAAAGCACATTTGTATGCAGATGATACAATTATTTATGCTTGTGCAACATCTGTGGAGAAAGCTGTATCAAAGCTTTAATGTGCATTTAACTGTGTGCACAAATCCTTGATTTTTTTTTTTTTTTTACAGGAGTCTAAAACTGAATTCATGCCATTTACAATGTCAAGGAAGTGTTATCACGACACCTACTCCATCCGTTCCCTGAATGGGGCCCAAATTGAATTAGTTACAGAAAATAAAATATCTTAACATTGGGTAGATGACAAGTTTTCATTTAAAACACCTGTGCTTGAGCTCACAAAGAAGGTGACAATTAAACTGGGTGCATTTTGGTCATGCTTCTCTTGATTAAATAGAATGACAATTAACTCTTTCCTAAGCCCTGCGCCTGGACACTGACTGGCCAATCATAACGTAGCATTGGGCTAGTTCAGACCAGGGTCCTACAACAACATGGCTGTGCTTCAGATTTCCTTCATTTTTGATGAAGAAGGATTCTTTATGACATGGGATCAATCTGCGGCCTTTGCAGGTACGTTATTGACGATGCAACATGCAACTTCAAATACCGCAACAATGAGACAATGAGCCCCGTAGAGCACTTCACCTAATACTCTTATACTCCTCCTCAGATAAACATTATACATACCTTTCCATGTGTGTGTATGTGTGTGAGTGTGATTTCCTGCTGTTTTCAGAACTTGCCCTTATTTTTATCTTGATACTTGGCGTTTTACACAACTTGTTCCTGCCAGGGAAACGACATCTGTTTCCCATCACAATGTGTTCCAGTTCACCCTGTTCTTAGACTCCTCCCCAGAGTGAGACCATTTAGGATTACTCCATTTTAGTAAACGTGTTTTGCTTCTAACTTGACCTTAAGGGTCAAATATTTCTAGGCCTTTTCGCCACCACATTTTCAGGCTGGTTTTGCAGATTTCATACTAAACGTTGTGCCTGGGGTACATGTATTAATGATATTCGTTACATGGAGAGGTTGTAAAAAGACATACGTTTCTTCCTAAAATCAAACCCAGAAAAGTGCAGGGTTAACCAGCTAGCTACTGAAGATATAGCCTACTGAATGTATACACATGCTGTTTTTTTGTTTTTTTGAGTGATTATAACACTGAAAAAAAGGAACTAGCTCTGCTGTACAGGAACCAGTGAAGGGAAGCAGGGAAACTTTGCTGATATTCAACCAGTCATGTGCCATCGCACTGTGTGCAGATGAACATTGTTTGTCTTTCCCTGGAAATCTCTGCCTGTCTGGCAGTGGAGGTCCAGGTGCTGGCAGCAACACAGGGGCGAAGCACCATTCATCTGCACACACTGCAACGCCACATAGCTGGTTCAGTATCGGCAAAGTTTCCCTTGATATTCATTGTCTAATTGTCGCGATCGCCAGTGATGCGGTGGTTCAGTTTTACACTGTGATCTGTAGACTATATTTTGGCTTTAGCTTCTAACTATCTGTCTTTGCTGCGGAGTGAGTTTGACATCCTGGATATATCCTTCAAACGCACTTTGTAGACCCCTCTGTCTGTTTCTCTCTGGAATCACTATTTCATTTTTCCAAAATGATGATAATATTTCTTCAGGGAGTGCAGTTATTTACAGTGTGGGCTCCATGCTTGCTCCAACAGTTTATCAGACTATCACTAAGGGGCGGGGCTTAACAAAAGCTCAATTGACCAATCGACTATAATGTCAGTCTTAGACTATAGTGATCCACGTTGAACTCACTAGATGCAGTCTGTCAAAGTTCCATACGTTTTATTGCTGGAGATGGTTCTAGAACTCACCGCTGTGAGTTATATCAGAATGTGGAGTGGTTTTCTCTCCCTGATAGGTGGGGATGACATTGCCTCCTTTTTGTTCATAAGGCATTGCTAGGAAAGTTATACTTCTATCTCAATTCTCTTTTAAATTCTCATCTCATTCTCATCACACACACTCACAGGAATTCTTAACCTTTAAAATTCCCCAGATAAGTACTGAGATTGGTAAATTAGCTTTTAGTTTTTTCACACCAAATAGACAGAGCAAGTTACAAGAGGTATGTGTCACTAGTTCATTTCGAGTGTATGCTAGATAATTTGGTTGTTGTACAGTGTTCCTGTTCTGGTTATTTTTCAACTTTTTTTCTGTTTTTATTGCTCTTTATCATCCTCGACAGACATTGCAGCTAGTTGTTTGTTTTTATGGACTTTTTCATTATTTTATTGTGGTTGCTATCCTATATTACATATCCTTCTTGCCCGTATGAATGGCATTGCTGTTTAAGAACTTAATGCTCTGTCAGTTTTCCCTGAATAAACAATGGTTTGATGATGATAACTAAGTTTTTACAAGCTGCCGAACAGAAAAACTAAGATTTTAACAGCAAAACGTGAAGCATCAGCTGCAATCAGCAGGAAGATATGGGAAAACTGTGAGATCCTGACACTCAGTATGTCTTCGTGCAACAAGCATTTTGCTAATTTGGCCAAACAAACTGTAGACATTGAAGCTAACTAAGCCATGTAAGGCCTGGTTTTGATCTTTGTTAACTTAAATGATGATGTTGTCTCGTGATTCCATCATACAGTTGTAAATATCAAGGTATGTCACTATTTGAGTTTTTCAGTGGGATCATTTCTCAAAAGATAAGCAAGGTAAAGAGAAGAGGACACTGAGATAGACCAACAACATTGAGTTTGTCAATGTAACTTTCCCTCTCTGGTAGTAATGTGCGAAAATAATCCTTGGACATGGTGATATCTAATATTTTTGGCTAGCTACAGGCATTTTGTAAGTGTTTCAGCCCAAGGTTGCTTATTGTGGCGCCAGTAGTTTTCCCCTCCGGTGGGCATGGTTTTCAAAGTGTGATGCGTTGCGCTCTGTCTCTATACTAGAATTTCGTGAACCAAAATGTAAAAATGTGTCAGATTATTTTACAGTTTCATGGTCACTTATTTTCTGTATATACTAATTATTAAAACACATTATTTCATATTTATTTAATTATTAAATGTATTTAGATAATTTTGATATCTTTGGGCCTCTGTATATGTCTAAGCTTTTATTGGCCAGTAAGTGCAGTTTGGAAAACGCTGTCAGTAATGTTTCAAATGTTACCACTTTCACGCTAAATGACAAATATATTTAGACACATATTTCCTAAGTTTTGTTGTGGTAGAACCTCTGTCATGTCAGCAGGGGATATATTATGGATATATGATGGATACCAATCATGGTGCAGTATACTGGAGGTGGAGTTAATAAAGCTTTTTCATTTAGGGTTAGGGATAAGGTTAAAAAGAGTTAGACTGCAGCTGTTAAAAAAAGTAAACAGGGCATGCTGAAGAGCAAAGATTAACAGATCCCTGGTGCTGGGAGAAAGCAAGAGCAGATACATAAACAGTTTAGTAATGCATAGGCAGAGGTTAAATTAATTTGAAAGAAAAAGGGCAGGTTGTGAGATTCTCATTATAAGAGACAAAAATCAGTGTCCAGAGCTTACTACATCTTCATGTAGTATCAATTAATATCGGCTGATTTCTGCACTGATGATATTTCTCACTTTTCTGCTACCTCTCCATTTTCCTTCTCTCTTCATCCTATACTTCTACTAACTCCTAAAGCATTCATTCACTCCATCATGCATCCTGGTGCCTTACCCAAGGAACTGGGCTCCAGACGGCCCCACCTCAATGAGCCTACTTGCCAGGCCCTCACCCTCAACCATCGGCGGCATGGTGGCCAGACGGTGCCTCTTCACCAGCCGGCATGTCACCCGTGTGGGCGCACTGCACTTCCTGGGCGGGATGATGATGCGTAGGCCGTTGTGCCGGCAACCACGCATTGCTCCGCCCCTGGCGTCCACCATGAAGCTGACCAGGAAGCTGATGTGGAAAAGGAGAGATTTCCACAAATTCAAGACATCTCTCACTGATCCCACGACCCAATCACCAGACTGAATGTTGGCATTTTACCTTTCTGCAAATGACGGAGAGATTACATTTGGACGTGATTATGTAACGGATACGTATCAACAATGATGTGGGTAATGTGTGGTTAAGTTAGGTTCAGGTACACAAAAACACTTGGTTATAGAAAAGATCATGTTTTGGCTTAAAATACCAGCTTTTGATGTTCAAATCCTGGCTGGAAATGGGGCGATCTAGGTAAAAAAACTCTTTTCATGGAATTCACTATCCCCACTGGAAACACAGTCTCACGTGGCTGAAAAACGCACACTTCTGGTGACTAAAAAACAACTGCAAATGAAGCGATGTCTCACTAAAAAACAATTACTTTTTGTGGCAGTTTCCCAGCAGAAAACACAGCAATGGCTTGATTAAAAAAAACAATAGTCATTCGTGGCATCATCCCAGCAGAAAACGTAGCAATGGCTTGATTAAAAAACAAAACAACCACTTTTCATGGAGCTATCCCAGCAAAAAACACAGCAATGGTTTGAGAAAAAAAAACACAAAACAAAACAAAAAAACACTTTTTCGTGCTGTTATGCCAGCAGAAAGTGCAACAATGGCTGCCACTATTCTGGCAGAAAAAAACAAACTTTTTGTAGTTTGTGGCAGAAAATGTAACAACGGCTTGATAAAAGAAACAACCAGTTTTTGTGGCACCTTCTCGGCAGAAAACGCAGCAGTCACTTGATAAAAAACCCCAACTACTTTTCATGGCACTATCCCAGCAGAAAATGCAGCAATGGCACGTTGCACTATCCCTGCTGGAATCACAACCACTAAAAACACATTTGGGGGTTAAATAGCAGCTGGAGATTGGAGACTTGCTAAAAAACAACACCTCCAGATAACAGTCACTTTACAAACGTTGAGATGACATGTATGAAGCATACAAATGAAACATATCCGTGGTTTGCAGAAACATACAATGCCAACATTTTCTTGTGGTGACTGGACTGGATCCCATTAAGTGATGAGAATACAGACACCAAAGCTACTTTCTAGATTGTCTGCCCAGGTGCTAATGCTAGCAGGATCTCAAAACTGGAAAATTAAGACTTAGCTGCCTTAAATGGATACGTTTTAATCTAATGTAGGACTACAAAGTTCAAGTTGAATGATCACTTTTGATTTTGGAAACAGCAGTTGACATAACAATCTTCACTAATGGTCCATTTACTCCCTTGTTCTGGAGCTTTTGACCAAATAACAATCTTCATCAGCAAACTAACAACTGCTGTATTAAAAAAAAATATCCTAACAGGGCTCAGAAAACAGCAGCCACTGTGTCCACAAGAAGCAATGACAGGATAAATTTCTTTCAAAAGTTATATAGTTACAAAATGTTGTGGCATTGAGAGGCATTTTAAAAATAATAAAAAATACTATTTACTTGAAAGAACTGTAAATTAAAAGGTTTTATTTCAATAGACAAAACTATAACTAAAAACTCAGTCTTCTTACTGTCTCATAATTTGTAATATTATCCATGCAGACAGTAATCTAGTGGGGTCTTTTTGCTGAATTTGATGTCTATTTTCTCAACGCTGAATGGGCACCATGACCAACAGCTTCATCTCTGTAAGTCTCATGAAGTTGCACCAAACATTTTGACTCGGTAGCTGTAGACTCTTTGACTTTACTCCTCATGCAAATTAGCAAATACAGTATGCAAACGGATCACACATCTCAGTGAGCGGGAATATGGGTTTGATGATGTGACGTTACAAACTGATACCATACCCACTTCTAATATGATCTGCCCTGGCCTTCAGCAAAGCAGACAACAGTTTTTAAAACACACACAGACACATAAAAACACGTGTTATTGGATTCAACAGCAAGACCAGTAACCTGTTAAAAGACAAAGGATGCTGTCTCCCATTGCTCAAACAAACCTCACTGTTTTCGTTTAACATTGAAGGACAGTAACATATACAGTAACTGACTGACAAATAGTATAAGCTAGATCATTGTTCTGTGTAAGATCAAATGTTAATTTTCCTGTATGTGATATAGAATCATACTTATTTTATGTAATAAAACTTTTGTTATGCTAAAATATTTCTCAGGTCAGAGGGTATGTTAGTGGAAATGCACATTTAACAAGACATTATATGAAATCAAAAAGCATGTCCTCAACATTCACCTCCTCCTTTTGCCCAGATATCCACAATTTAATGTTTGTTTACCTGAACAGTCCATATCACATGACCCTTCCATGTGGAGGCATCATCTCTGGGACTTGGAATTTGGAGCCAGGTGAAATATTTTGACAATTCAAGTTAGATTACAATAACTTGACACATTTTAAACCAAGAAAAAAGTCTAAGAGGCATGACTGCTGAGGACAGTGACATGTACACCCCTCCATCTGGAGAGCACACTGTGAGGGGAGGAAGAGAGTGATGAAAATGAGGAGGAGAATGATTTAACCAAGGTGCAGAGGTTCACCTGCTGTGGTCTCCATGATCATGGCACGGAGAGGAATGGCTAAAAACGACAACCACATCAGACAGAAAGGAATCAAAAGGCAAGCGGAAACATTTCAGAGAAACCCAGAGAGAGAAAAAACAGAGCAGACATGAGACAAGCAGAATCAGGAAAAGAGGCCATTTGTTGTGGAATTCAGAACATGAACATACATTTTTTAAGACAGTCAACCAGTACTGACATCATTACTTCAATGTCAGTACTGCTAGTGTACTGTAGGAGAGCAGCGGCAATTTCAGTCAGTATTTACAATACTTTCACTTCATATGTTTAGCAAGAACCACTAAAACATTATTGCTAAATTGTGGATTTATTACACTAAAGTGTCATTGATGCTACTTCTGTAATGTCTATCCCTATATGTGTCCATCATTTTCTATGTGTTGTGTAATAAGCTACTGGGTGCTGTAATTTCCCACAGGATTAATACAGTAGCTATATCCATCCATCCATCCATCCATCCATTTATTTCATCATGGAAAAAAGGTTCCTGAGGGAAAAGTTTCATTATAGTTTTTGTCAATGAAATTAACACTGTAGGCACCATCTTGCCATCCGGTATCTAGTTATTACTAAAATCTATGGGCTGTTGTCCAGCAAGAAACAGTTCAAGCATGGGAACAGGGAACAGAGAAGCCCAGATTGATGCTTCAGGATGTACCTCAGAATGCTTTTCATGGGCATGATGACATTTCACAACAGAAATTACATTTTACCAAGCAGTCTTTGGTCTGCAATGAAATTCTCTACTGACTCAGGAAAATATGTTACCATATCTTTACTCTGGAAATCATATAAAGAAGAGAGCTTACTGTATGAATTTATATATTTTACAAGCCATATAGATGTGAATTCACAAAAAATCATTGTGTAATTTTGAGCCAAGCCCCCTGAAATGCATTTACTTTTTTTTGTTTATTGGACGTTCTAAATAAAAATAGTGGTATCTTGCTAACTGCTTCATTGTTTAGCTATCTAAAGCTGCTTAGATGACACCTGACAGATTAAAGGATGATTAGAGACATTACAACAGGCCAAAACATTGTTACAAATAATAATATCCTCAAATTTCTCTTGTAGGCTACTGTACACCTGTGTGCTACAATGTATTCCCTGTAAAAGCTACCAAGTTAGAGAAAGCACTGTACTAGCACACTCCAAGCACTAGATACCACCTTTAATCAAGAAGGGAATTCACCAATTAAGAAAAGCTGTAATTAAATGTAAATAAGAACTTAAAACATAACAGCTTTCAGGACTTGAAAAGATTGGGTTAATTGTTAATTAATATTTATGTATATACAAGATGTTTCAGCATGTGTATGTCAAACTATTTCTACATTTCATCCTGTGCCTGCGTATGTGTTTAAAAATGGTAACATTTGCGCTGTTTATTTAGTAATCATTTTCTCCAGTCTGACATTACCTACCCAGAGTGAATGGGACTGGAGGATAAAGCCACATTGTCCAGGTTCTCTGTGCCCCAGCTCAGACGATATGAATCCCTCTCATTCTCTCTGGCAAGTGATGAAACCTGGAATCAAAGAACCTCTTATTAGATATATACTATACTACATATTTCCTTAACAAAAGAAGGAAGATTCTTAGTCATGTCCCCTTAAACCTAGGGTTCCCACACCTTCCAAAACACAAAATTCAATGACTTTTCAAGTACTTTCCAGGCCCGCTTTCCTCAATTTCAAGGACTTGTCACAGCAAAGGTGTGTTTTCAGATTGCATTTGAAAGCGGAAAGGGAGTCAATATTGTGAATGTCATGGGGGAGAGAGTTCCAAAGGCTGGGGGCGAATGGCTAAAGGCTCTAGAACCCATGGTAGTCAAGCGGGCAGACGGTAATGTCAGTTGGATTGCAGAAGCAGATCTCAGAGTATGGGAGATTATGCATATATGAAGGAGTTCAGACAGGTAGGAAGGGGCTTGATTATGAAGGGCCTTAAAGATGAGAAGCAGAATCGGACTACATGACTACTCCACGGTCGCATGACTCTTGACATCACCGCCACTAAGCTTTCAACTGATTTCGGCTGCTTTATTTTAAAAACATTGTATAATGGGGAAATCGGACTGTTTAAGCTAAATAAGAAGCTGTAATGGCGGACTGCCAGCACTCTCGCCTGTTTGGGGGTGATGACATTAATGTCCCCGACAGAGTTTGTAGTCCTATTGAGCAACTTGTTAGCAACCACCTTTTTTACGACACGTTAAAGCTTCAACATTCACAAGTAGGGTATTTACTGACGTGTTTTATGTTGTAGAACAAAACCTGAAACTCGCTTAAGCTTTTGTTAACCACAGACCTTATTTGAGGCATTTTACCAAAATCCCATTCAAAAAATGTATTGACTTTTAGAGAGAGAACCGGAAGTGCTAAAAGCGCTAACGGTTCCTACGGTTTACTGGCACACTCTATTACTAACTTGTTTAACAGCGAAATACTGCGTTGTTGACTTTAGACCAGGTTTTTGTTAGTCACTGCCGCATTTGCTTTTTACGTCATCTAACTAGCAACGCGCCATCACTGCCCCTGACCACTCCTAATTTTTAGACCAACACACCCAGTGAAGCGTAAGTTCATTTGCTAGTTAGACGACGAGGGTGCAGGGCGTGAAAATGACAACTGCGCCTGCATCTAAATAGCAATGACACTTCCGACATGGATTATGCGCCCTCCGCCGTCCGCTTTAGACCATCTAAATAGGGCCCTAAAAGTTATGAGCAAAACCCAGAACATTGTTGGACTCCTTTATTCCCTTACACACACTCACGTCGCTTACACAAGGAGTGTACTGTACCTGGTGACTGGCGAGCATCTCCTCCATCATGCCTTCATGTTTAGGGGAGTAGTAGCTGTGGTGGGTGGGTGTGAAGGACCTGTCTGAACTGGAGCAGAGAAGAAACCAGTGAAGCTCAATGATCATGACAACAGCAGAGATCACAGAAGGTCAGGCATTACAGTTATGAAGATTACAGAGAAAGTGTGCTTTAATATCAATTCCACAAACAGGGATAAATGTTAACTATCAAAATCAGCTGATGTGGACAACTGTCGTAGGAGTCCCTACCCTGGAGCTCATGACTTTGGAAAAGAAATTGGAAAAAAAATTAATTAATAATAATTAAATGAGTGGACTGATAACATATTACACTCATTTAAAATGTTTAAATGTTGATGGTAAATAAAAAACTATGTTTCACATTACAGCTGCTTTAACACCAACAGGAACACTGCCAGAGTAAAACGTTAACAGCATCTAGGCTGTCATTTCTTACATTTTTACTATATATTAAACCTTAGCTGGGCAGTTTCATGTTGGTGTCACTGGGCGAAAGTACCATAATAACCTCTGAACATACTGAACATATTAATTCAAGTGGTCTGAGAGAAAACTAGACTTCTCCACCTCCTCTTGGCTCTGTTTTTAGGCTTTTAGAAAATCTAGACTGTGACAGGAGTGTTTGGCCAATCACAGGTCTTTTCAGAGAGAGGGCATTCCTGTTGGCTGTTCTACAAACATATAGCCTATATGTGTGCACGTCCCTTCAGATGGTGAAAGTCCGATTTAATAGAGGAGAATCCTGCAGAAAAAGTTGCTATTCCAGCATTGGCAACAGCTGCCTACAATGCAAAGCAACCTAAAATGGAAGATGGACTCATTAAAAGGAGAGTCTAAAACAAAGTCTGACAATAAACAAAATAAATGAGTAAATAACAGTTTAGTGTTTCAGAGATGGAGAGAAAATGTTGCTAATAGTTTAGCCTTCTGCTGACTGGAGCCAATGGCTCATGGCTCAAGGCATTAGCTAAAATCTCAAATCACAGGGAGTCCTCTGCCTCACTTCCCACCGCTACAGACCATCTCTCCTGTAGGACAGCCAGCAGCAGTTCTGGAGACGGACCTTCAGTCAGCGGCTGCAGTAACCTGATTCCAGCGAGTAAAACCCCAGGTCCAGACAGACAGCCCCAACTTCCAGCCGGATCAGGAAACTTTCTGGTGCTGTTGTTACACAGGCTAGACCTGTTGCTGTTGTTGAGCACCACCTTGCAATGACTGCTTGGGCTGCTACAGCTGTGAGCTGAAGGTCCATCCTAAGAGCTGTTTCCCTGCCCTTCCCCTCGGAGAAGCAGTCAACAGCAGCAGAGAACTGCACACTGTGATGTGAGGCTAGGCAGAGGGACCGCAGGGTTTGGTAGCTAGCTTATTCTTCTCTAATATGTGGTCTGCTAAACAGAGAGAGAGCTTTAAAATTAAATAAGATTAAATAAATCAATGTATGGGAAACACAAAGTCACTGTATGAACTGTACATATGCATATGGTCCGGTGGGAGGGACTTAGGACAGAGGAGGTCATATTTTCAAGTTCTGATGCTTTACCCCAGCTTTAACAGGCATGTATAACATACAGCTCATTACCAATTCAAAGTGTTTACAGCTGCCCTAGCAGGTGTATACTACTGTAAGTTTGTGCAACACATTCTTCATCACATATCAACGTCTGGTTGATATATGACGTGTAATGTACCCTGGGTGTGTGACGTTCTGGGACGCCGTGTCTACTGCAGCCTGTTACATGTATAGTCTGTTTTCAAAATACACTTCCATTTTCACAAGAAATGTACAGTTTCCTTACAGTGTCTTTAAAAAAATGAACTACATCTGTACAACACTGCCAATTGACTTTTTTTTCCTTCAACAACAAAAAAAACACAGAGAAAAAAACAGAGAAATCAGAAGTAGTCTGACTGACTAACTTCTATTCAATCCCCAGCCCCAGGGAGACTGTGAAACTGGTTAAATCAGCAGTGCTGATGATGTAAAAGACCAGATATCAGGCCAGCGTCAGCACATACCTTTGCATTCGACTATGAAGGCATGACAAGGAGGACCAACGATGAAGTATGAGCAGAAGAGGTTGCAAAACACACACATATACACACAAATATATAAACACAGGCAATTAGTTGTAGAGTCAATTGTCCTTGAGAGGAAAGATGTCTTAAAATACATAAATATACACACACACTAATTAATGATCAAGTTAGAACTAAAATACGCAGAGAGTATCAGTGATTAGAGTGGAACAGGCTCAAAGAGGGACCAGATCCAGGACAGAGGGATGTCGTATGCTGTAAAGCCCTCCGAGGAAAATTGTTATTTGTGATATTGGGCTTTATAAATAAAATTGATTGATTGATTGATTGATTGATTGATTAAGATCAACAGGGAATCATAACTGGGAGTCAGATGTTATAAAAAAGATTGCACGGTAAAATGGGAACATCAACAGCTCCTGTTACCCCATGCTTTAAAAGTGTGTATGGAGCACAAGGAACAATTGTTTGCTCCATGAAGCAGATGAGCATTTGTTAATGCATGGAATGCATAAACATGTGCTCTGAGTCAGATGCAACACATGCAAAGACAAAAAGTTCTCACTTACAGGGAAATGCTTAGTTAGCTGGTTTACCAAATCAACACTGAACTCTAATAAAACTGATCTGGTTGCTTATTAGCAAAAGTCAACATCTGACAGAATTAGATGTACCTGTCAGTTCGTCCTCCTTCCAGACTGAAGCGGAGGTAGTTCATTCCATCCAGGTACTGTCCTGGCAAGGAGTCATCTCCCAGCTCCCTGAGGTCCTCAGCCCTCAAATACTCCCCTCCGTCACCTGTCATCGTGTCATCACCTTCACAGAGCAAAGACAAGAGTGGAGGTCAATTCAAAAATGAAAATTTTACAGACTGATTGAAGGAACACTCCAGGGTTTGGGGACATCTGGCTGCCAAGTTACCATTGATATGAACAAAGACATCAAATTACTCAAATGTAACTTAGCACTAGTGCTAAAATGCTAGCAATATAATAATTTGACAGATAAGAGGCAATTAGTATGAACAAAAATAGAGTGTAAGAGGAAAGAATATGTGTTATCTTTGGCCTGTGTATTTTGAGAGTTTAAAAAAAATATTAATTTAATGTGATGTGCTGTATCTTCTGTAGAGTGCTCCTTAGGTACAAACATATAGACTGAATCACTGTGATGTTGCACAACAACAGTCACTTTCATTTATATAACTGGCACTTGATTACAACTGTGGAGATGTGTAAAATTGGCAAAATTGTTTACTTCTGGTGTCATTTTCAGCTGTGACTATAATGTTTTAAGATTTATAGTTAAAGGTCTGAGCTGTTTCTGCTGTCCTTTTGTAATGTACTCTGGTGCTCTGCTATCATTTTTGATAAACCAAATCTACTGGCATGAAAGCAAAGCAATGTGCTGCTGTGGACAGGGCTGTGGCAAAATGAATTTCAGCCACATAAAAAAATCTATATCAGTGTAACTGTACATTCACACCAAAAGCTGCCAGGGCTGTGGCGACTAGAGGCGTTTTGAGCTGCAAAAGCGATGAGCGGCGGCGGTTTGGCGAACTGAGCTGCAAATGAAAGTTGAAGACTGGTTAACTTTATGCAAATTAGCTATGATGCGTTTGAGCTGCAAATGACCAGCAACCAATCGGAATGTAGATGTCAATCACTTGTGTGGAACACAGAGAACATCCTCAGAAACTTTTAGTTCCTACCACACATTCGTTCCTACTTCAAAACAAGCAGCAAGCTGTCAAACTGATCTATGTTCAGCCTAAAGTAGCGCTTGAACCTCTCCTCATCCAGCCACAGCTCCCGCATCAGCCAATGAGATTCCCTGTGCTGTTCACGGCCCCGGAGGATATCGTGAACCCAGACCCAACGGCGGCTACAACCACGCAGGTACCACACGGCAGCACAAATCAATTCAACATGGAAGAGTGTCTTCTTCCATGTTGACTCGATACACAAGTGTGGACAAGCGCACATACTTATACAATTTCTTTGTGTTCTGGAACGCTTGTTATTTGCGGGAATGCAATTAATTTGCTCTCCTTACCATCAGTTTATCTAATCACACTGTAGGCACTCGAACCCAAACCATTGACAGTGTTTCCCCTAAGTTCAATCAAAAAAATTTGCTCATATTCGGTTTGGGTTCGGCCCACTTGACATGCTGCTGTGTTGTGCTACGGCCTATTCTAGTGCTGGAATTTGTTATTTACGTGACAACGCCTGAATGCAACACAGGCTGTGTGTGTTTAATGTTTAATGTCAGACCTATTTAGACTTTTTAATCTTGTTTTCATTGTCCAAACGTGAAGGTTTCTGTACTCAGGCAAATGCACAAAGTCACATTTCTGTGCTCCAGCCAGTAACCTGCTTTGCAGCTCCTTTAAATTGAGAAGCATAATCGAACGTTCAGAATTTGGCATCATGAGTGTCTTGAGCTGCTTTCGCTGCCACAAATATTTTTCCAGCGGCGCAGCTAGAGCGAATTCAGCTATTTTGCAGCTCTGACAGCTTTTGGTGTGAACGTACAGTAAGTGTGCGCTATATTTGAGTATTTGCTCCACTTTACACACTAACCAACTGAAGCAGCTGTAAACCAGCAACTCTTGTGTTCTGCTAAGTTACTTGACTGTTTTTGTCAGTAGAGTCTGGTGGCTTTGATATAACGGCTTCAATTCCCTGTCAGAAAGGGCTGTCTGACAGCAGAGTAAAGAAGTGAAATTATTCTAAATATAATGCTCACTGAAACTGACATAGAATTGCTCTGGTGGGCCTTTTTTAGGTGGCTAAAAACTAACTGAGACAAGACTTCCAGTTTACGCCTGACATGGAGTAGTCGCAAATTCAACGTGCTCCGTATATTTTGTCATATTCATTTCAGTGCGACACGACATTTTAATATTCTGGTGGCGTAGCTTTGTACCTTACACTTTTAAAACCCTTTGGACAATTCACGGCGAGTAGGACACAGAAGAAGTCAAGTCGCAGTGCAAAGTTTAATTAGCTCTGCACTCAAGCAGACGCTAATGGATAATGCTAGCGCTAGCCTCCACCATCCCGACGTGGACCCTCCATCACCTACAGGGCAATCCGAGGAGAGCGCTCTTCTTCAGCTAATTAAGGCGGAGATGGCCACCTCTCATCAGCTACTGGGAAACATAATTAAACAAGAGATGGCTACTTTCCATGCTGAAATCAAACATGATCTGGAGGCCCTCCGCCAGGCTACCAAGGCTGACATCGCTGCTCCAAGAACGAAGTTTAGAGCCGAGGTGGCGTCTTTCTGCTCTACACAGACCGAGACGGCTACCACTATACGGGAGATGCATCAGTGAGATGGAGAGCGCCATTTCAAACCTCAAGCATAATACTGATAGTAATACTGTCGATAAACTGAAAGACCGGAATGACGATTTAGAAAACAGAAGCCGCCGTCCGAATTTGAGGATTATCGGGATCCCTGAGGGTGTGGAAAATGGCAAACCTACAGCAATGATGGCTTTGTTTTTTAGCTAGGTGCTGGGCAATGAGATAACTAATCCCCTGGTGCTAGACTGTGCTCATCGGTCTCTGGCTCCAAAACCCAAACCCAGCGACCACCCAAGACCCATGATAGTGTGGCTGCACTATTATTTGGACAAGGTGAAGATCCTACAAATATCCAGAAATAAGAGTGAGCTCAAATTCAGAGGGGCAAGAGTTCACATTTTCCCGGACATGCGCCCTGAGCTAAGCCGCCGCAGAGCAGCTTTTACCCTGGTCAAGGCCAAGCTGAGACAGGCAGGCATCTCATACGGATTGTACCACCCAGTGGAGCTGCGCCTGACCTCTGATGGCATCTCGTGCTCATTTTTTCTCGCTAAACGGATTTGTCCCACCTTGAATATGTAACCCAAATAAAAAGGAGTGTGTTTTTTATTGTTAAATTTAATTTCAATGTAGACTAAAATTATATCCTATTGATACACATGTATCAATAACATTTTTTTGTTTTCCATCCTAATACATACTTTTATTTTCTCTTATTTCTTTCTTTGAGCTTTATCGGACTTTATATGAAAAAAAATCATAGATTTGTGGGGGGTGGGGGGTGGTTGGGGATTGTGTTTGATGTTTGTACACATCTCCACATAATTTGTGTTTTTGTGTGTGCACATGCGCTGATGTCAGCCATATTTTTTGGATGTTGTGACTGCAGTTAATCCTATGGCAACCTGTAGTGATCATGGCTGATGCTTTGCCAGCCAGAAGTGACGGTGACACTATTACAGTAAATTGTATTAGTTGGAACGCCAAGGGTGTTAATCATATCATCAAACGTAATAGAGTTTTATCACATTTGAGAAGTCTGGATGTTAACATCGCTTTCCTTCAAGAAACCCATCTCAGGACTTCTGACCATAGCAGAGTACGCAGGGGTTGAGTTGGACAATGATATCATTCTGATTATCAAGACAAGTCCAGAGGAGCTGCTATTCCCATTGATGAGCATGCGCCATACAGAACAGTAACTCCTTCAATCTCATTCTGACCTGTAAAAACACTCAGACAAGGCTGGGAAGACTCTGGCCCAACAGATTAGAGAGTACGTGGCCTCTACTGTGATTACAAGCATTCAAAAACATGATGGTCAGATTTCTAACAATAAGCAGGAAATTAATTATGATTAATGAGCATGATTTTATTTCACCCTTTATACTTCTGAAGTGGTCCACGACCCTTTCAAACTTGACTCATTTTTTCAGAGCTTAAACCTACCTCAAGCAAATGAACCATTCATGGAGCAAATGGAAAAACTGTCTGTAGAAGAAACCAGAGTAGCCCTTAACAATATGCAAAATGCACAAGCCCCAGGACCTGATGGATTCACGGTTGAATTTTTTAAGAGGTTTGGGGAAAAGCTTTTGCCAATTTTGCTCTCTGTTTTTAATGAATCCTTTGTCGAAGGCTGCCTTCCACCAACCTTATGTCAGGCCTCTATTTCTTCATTACTGAAAAAGGATAAGAACCCTCTTAGCTGTGGGTCATTTTGCCCTATATCGCTGCTTAATGTTGATTGTAAACTGCTGGCTAAAACCTTGGCCCTTCGCTTGGAGCCCATCATTCCTTATATGATTTCTCCGGACCAAACTGGTTTCATAAAAAATTGTCTCTCTTTCTTAAATATTCTTAAATATTATGTATTCCATACACCTCAATCAACCATTACCTGAAGTAATAATCTCTCTGGATGCTGATGTATAAAGATGTATCCTTCGGTCGATGACTCTTGTAATAGATGTAAAACTTCCCCTGCTACACTAGCCCATACATTCTGATCTTGCCTGGGTCTTTCGGTTTACTGGTTTTCCATTTTTGAAGCCCTTTCCAAAATACTTGGAAGAGCAATTGATCCAAACCTTCTTACTGCAATTTTTGGTATTCAGTGTGAAGACAGTCATCTTCCTAAGGTACAGTCAAATTGCATTGCTTATGTCACCCTTTTAGCCAGAAGACTTATATAACTTAATTGGAAGCAGACAACCCCTCCCTCTTTTAAACATTGGGTCAGAGATACATTACAATTTTTGAAGCTAGAGAAGATAAGATTTGCGGTAAGAGGATCGAAGCAAAGTTTTAATAGTGCATGGCAACCTTTTATCACATGTCTGCTTGGTCAGCTGTAGGGTTTTAGTACTGTTGCTTCTCAACATCTGCTGCAGAACTTTAAATCACAGGCATGCGCATGCACACATACACACACTTTGTCTATTACTGTTTTTTGTTGTTTTTTTGTTTTGTTTTTTGTGTGTGTTTTTGTTTTTGTTT